GGACCTGAGTCTGTTCATCCTGGGGAAAGGAGGGCTGAGGGGGGATCGCATAAATGTTTGTGAATATTCTGGGAGTCATGGTGGATGAGAAGTTGGATATGAGCAAGCGTCATGTGCTTGAAGCCCGTAAGCAACTATATCCTGAGCTGCATTAAAACAGGGGAGGCCAGCAAGGAAAGAGAGATGGTAGTCCTCCTGTACTCAGCTCTTGCGAGGCCCCGTCTGGAGTACTGCATCCAGGCCTGGAGTCCCCAGCACAAGAAATATGCAGAGCTCTTCTATCAGGTCCAGAGGAGGGCGCTAAGATGATCAGAGGACTGGAACACATCTCCTACGAGGAAAGGTTGAGGAGACTGGGCTTGTTTAGCTGGAGAAGAGAAGGCTCTGAAAAGACCTCACTGTGCCTTCTCTGCTGAAGGATGTGTCACGATGTTCTTGCAGCACAGGACCAACATCTCACGCAGGTCCTTGCTTTCGAAAGAAGGCTTCAGCTTGATGACAGGAGGAAAAACGGAAGAGAAATCAGAAAGACCCTTTACGAGTGCTCTCCAGACTGGTTCAGACAACATCTGAATTTCACTGCGTGTGGCATGAGCTCTCGTGCTGTCCAGCTCCACCTGTGTGGGAAGAAATGCCTTGAGACACTCGCTAACGGCCCCCAGTGCCCCGTGATGCACCTGGGCTCCCAAGGCAGGAGCTGCAGGGAAAACAAGGCAGAAGAATGCCAAGATGGAAACCCGTAACGCTTTACCTTCTTGCGCCTGGAAATCCTGGCATTGCGGCCTTTGCACAGCCTGGACGCAAACATGGTGAGCGTGGCCAGGACTGTGTGGAAGTTGTTCTCAGCAGCATGGCTGAGAAGAGAGATGATTCCCTGCACAAAAGAACAAGGGGCCGTTCTGCAGTGGCAGAAAATGGCAGCAGTGTGGATGTTGAAAAGCCTGGAGCAGGGCCAGGAGAAGGCCTCTGCCCCACGGCCAGAGCGGGGAAGCTCACAGGAGCTGGAGGAGAGGAGAGCTCACCTGGGCCTCACGTGGCTCCTCTGCATTTGCCTCCTCCAGGTGCTGCAGCAGCTTCTCCTGGACGTGGAGGACTCCCTTACAGGATCCCAGCACTGTGCCCAGAGCCTTGTACAGGAACGACTGCATGGGAAGGGAAGGAAGAAGCTGAGATGTGGCAGCAGCTTAACCTGCTGGTGGAGGGCCAGGTGGGAAGGAGCCAAGCTCCCTGGCGGTTGCTGAGAGCAGCTGCGGGGCCGAGCTTTAGCCATCCCTGGGCAGATTGCAGGGAAAGGCCCTTTGGGGGGCATAGACTGGGGAAGCAGCATCAGCATCCCACGTGGGCAGAGCACCAGCCGCAGCCCCAGCCCCAGCTGGACACCTGCAGCTGCACCGCTGGGTAGAGCCGGGGGGAACTCACCTTTTCTGCAGAGCTGCTGGCAGAGCTGCTCAGCCGCTGGCTCAGCTCACAGCTCAGGGCCTCGATCCATGCCTTCTCCTCTATTGTGTCCAGCGACGCCTTCAGGAACTGTTGGAGAACAGGAGAAGACAATGTTTCCTTGCCCTTTGCCTCTTCCCTCACTCCCAAGTTGCTGCAGCCCTCTGCGGAGAGGTGCCTGGAAGAACAGTGCCTCTCCCAGCTCCCCCAGCGTTCCCTCCATTAAAGCCGCCTGCCCTCTTCTCCTAAGACCCCCCTGGGCTTGGGACAGAGCGGAAGAGGCCGCGCCACAAAGGCGTGCGGCCGCTCCGCAGCAGCGCTTGAGAGGCTGTTCCTGCCCCACAGTGGCTCACGTGGGAGCGGGGCTACTTGGGGCAGGCAAGCACTTCTCTGCACCGCGCCTCCCGGCAATGCTGTACCTTTAGCAGACGGCGCTCAAACTCGGCAGTGTCCGGGAAGCTCTCATCTTTCCCTGCACAGCAATACGAAGACAAAGACCCTTACTTGGGATCAAGGCACAGAAGAAGAGCTGCTGCAAAGCTGGCTTGGCCTGGGCACTTGACACAGCCAAGCTGGGACCTGCACCCCCTCCACAAAGACCTGTCCCTCCCCACAGACACTGCCTCCACAGGAACACGGAACTAAGTGCTCCAAGGCTGCTGTCTGAGGGGATGTGAAGGGCCCATTCGGCCCACTGCAGCAGCAGGGGGATCTCTGCTGAGATGGCCCCCACAGCTGTATGGAACCTGCTGTGAAGGTTTTTCATCAGTAGTAAGGCAGCAGCTTGGAGTTCGCTGCCTGCGACAGAGCTCCCTGCCACCACCTGATTGAGAGCAAGGAGAAGCTGGGTCACTTCTGCAGCAAGAACAGCGGCTTCTGCCAGGAGGGAAGCAGCTTGGCTCTGCCCATGGCCATGCTGCTTCCTCCTGGGTGCTCGTGGCACCGGCCTCTGGAGCATCTACTCACCAGCAGTCGTGCCAGCAGTGTCTGGGGCGTCAGCAGTGGGCCTGCAAAGAGAAAAAAGTGCTGAGTAAGACTCCAGGACACTGCGTGCCCAGGCATGCACACCTCCGCTGTCCCTTCTGGGTGCTACCACAGGTCAGCAGAGCTCACTGGGCGAGGTTTTGCTCCTACCTTGAAACATGGAGCTGACGAAATGGGGATCCAGGTGTTCTACGCGCCGTCCTGTCAGCTCCTCTCTCTCAGCCAGGGCACAGACACAGCGGGAGACTGGGATCAGCATGCCTGTGTACTGCGCTGGCACCACAAACAACAGCAGCCGCGGCCACAGGAGCTGTAGGGAATGAGGCAGTTGAGCAGGTCAGCATTCCTGCCTCTGCTCAGAGATGAAGAGGACTCTGTGAATTTCCCCGAGTCCCGTGTGCTTCAGAGCACATTGGAGGAGAGACCTGGGGTCTTGGAATGGGACGAGGAACACGTGGAGCAAGGGCAGGGAGCAGCAGCAGGGCAGAGCGTGACTTACTTTGGACATCCCTCTCACAGAGACGTCCAGTGATCCCAGGATGTCCATGCACAGCTCCTGGAGAGCTCCTTCTTCCTGGGCTTCCCAGGCAGAAAGGTCTCCGGCTGCCTGCATAACCAGTTGAAACACTCTCAGGAGGTCTCAGGAAGTCTCTCAGGAGGCTCAAGTGTGGCCCCAGCAGTGCTTCTGTGCCACCCTCTGAGCAGCACGGGTTTTCCAAAAGATGCTGCCCACTGTCCTTACCCTTCTTCCCGTGGTGTGGCTGAACTCACTGAAGGTTTGCCAGAGTCAGAGACGTTAGGGAGACTCTATCGCATCTGATCAAACAAGAAGACCACCATCATAGAATCATAGAGTCCTAGAATCACAAGGTAGCAAGAGTCCTACAAGATCATCTTGTCCAACCATCATCCCATTACCACTCCTACCACAATCTACCATATCTCATAGCTCCTCATCCGGATGCTTCTTGAACACTGCCAGGGACGGCGACTCCAATCACCTCCCTGGGCAGGCCATTCCAGTGCCTGACCACTCTCTGAGAGAAAAAGTTTTTCTTATGTTTAATTTAAATCTCCTCTGGCACAACTTGTGGCCATTTCCTTGGGTCCTGTTTGTTGCCAGGGAGAAGAGGCCAAACCTCTCCTCATCAAAACCTCCCTTCAAGAAGTTGTAGATTGCATTGAGGTCTCCCCTGACCTTCCTCTTCTCCGGAATGAACAATCCCAGATCCCTCAGCTGCTCCTTGTAAGATTTGTGCTCCAGACCGCTCACCAGTTTCATTGCCCTTCTCTGGACACGCTCCAGGGCCTCAATTTCTTTCTTGTAGTGAGAGGCCCAAAACTGAACAATACTAGAATACATGATTCTTGAAGATGCAGCCTCACCAGTGCTGATGATGACCTCCCTGCTCCTGCTGGCCACACTATTTCTAATGCAAGCCAGGATGCCACTGGCACTCTTGGCCACCTGGGCACACTGTCAGCTCATGTTCAGCTGAGCATCAACCTACACCCCCAGGTTCCTTTCCTCTTCACAGTCATCCAGCCACTTGTCCCCAAGCCTATAATGCCACATTGGGTTAATGTAGCCAAAGTGCAGGACCCAGCACTTGGCTTTGTTGAACCTCATCCCATTCACCTCAGCCCAGTGATCCAGCTTATCCAGATCCCTCTGAAGGGCCTCCCTACCCTCAGGCAGATCAACACTACCTCCCAATTTGGTGTCATCTGCAAACTTACTGAGGGTATGCTCAATCCCCTCATCTAGGTCATCAGTAAAGATATTAAACAAGATAGGCCCCAGTACCAACCCCTGGGGGACACCACTTGTAACGGGTTGCCATTAAGCTGGACTTAACTCCATTAACTATTACCCATTGGGCACAGCCTTCTAGCCAGTTCCATACCCAAAGAAGGGTATACCTGTCTAGTAGCGACGGGCAGCCTGTTTCCCCAGGAGAATACTGTGAGAGACCATGTCAAAGGCTTTGTTGAAGTCTAGGTAGACTACACTGACAGCCTTTCCCTCGTCTACCAGTCTGGTCACCCAGTCATAGGATAAGATGAGGTTGGTCAAGAATAACCTGCCTTTCATGAATCCGTGTTGGCTGGGCCTGATCCTCTGGATGCCACGCATGTGCTGTGTGATCTCACCCAAGATGATTTGCTTCATAACTTTCCTAGGTACCGAAGTCAGGCTGAGAGGCCTGTAGTTCCCCAGGTCCTTCTTATGGCTCTTCTTGTACATGGAAGTCATATTGGTAAGCCTCCAATCCTCTGGGACCTCTCCAGACAACCAGGAGCGCTGGTAGATGGCAAAGAGTGGCTCAGTAATCAACTCTGCCAGCTCCCTCAGCACCCTAGGATGGAGCCCATCCAGTCCCATGGACTTGTGACAGTCCAGATGGAAGAGGAGCTCTCTAACTGTCCCCACCTTAATCATAGGGTTGTATTCTAAGAACCAGCCCAGACTTCCAGATCAGGGTGTAAAGTGCCCTGAGGATAACTGATCTGACTATTAAAGGCAGATGTAAAGAAAGCATTGAGGACCTCAGCCTTTTCCTTATCCTCAGCAGTCACATTCCCTGCTGCATCAAGTAAAGGTGGAAGTTCTCCTTGGTTCTTCTCTTACCACTGATATATCTGTGAAAGGATTTCTTATTCTTTTTTACTGCAGTGGCCGATCTGAGTTCAAGTTGGGCTTTTGCCTTCCTAAATTCCACTCTGCATACCTTAGCAACATCTTTGTAATCTCCCCAAGTAGCCTTTCCCTTTTTCCAGAGGACATAGGCTCTCTTTTTCTTCTGAAGTCTCAACAGTAGTTCCCAGTTCATCCACCATCTGCTTGTTGTCATTCAAGTAGGGTCATGGGAGGGTGCCATGAGGAAACGGCAGAACATCAGAGACTTTGCATCCTTTGGAAAGACATGAAAGGGATTGGTAGAGACCTCAATGTGGGCTTCCAGTACTTAAAGAGAGCATATAAACACGAGGGAGAATGACTGTTTTCATGGGCTGATAGTGATAGGATAAGGGAGAATGGCTTTAAACTGAGACAAGGAACATTTAGGTTAGATATGAGGAGGAAGTTTTTCATTCACAGGGTGGTAATACATTGGAACAGGTTGCCCAGAGAGCTTGTGGATGCCCCATCCCTATAGGCATTTAAGGCCAGGCTGGATGTGGTTCTAGGCAGCCTGGTCTAGGGATTGGCGACCCTGCCCACAGCAGGGAAGCTGGAACTAAATGATTAAGGTCCTTTTCAACCCAGGCCATTCTATGATTCTATGATCAAATACGGAAATAGATTCTGAAGTTATGTTGTGGGGAGTCAATACTTATTCTTCCCATAGTTGTGCTCCCTGATTACATATACTGCCTTTACAATTAAACAATATTTAGCAAGAAATGTCCATGGTATATATACATATATATATATATATACACATATATATATACATATATATATATACACATGGCTGGATGGCTTAGACCTTGGAGAAGGGCAATCAAACTATTAACTCCTAGCTCCTTACGTCAACCTATTTATTACTCAGCTGTTGGTTAAAACATTCATTTTGGAACATATATTCACATTTGTTCTTTTAGAAGTGATTTTATTTATTTGTTTGTTTGTTTTTATTTATTTTGATGGAGAAAGTTCCTTACTAGAAGAAAATGAAAAAAATTTTAAAAAGGGAGTGAGAGGGGGAAGAAAATTTCTGTTCAGAAAATTTATTTTCAGAAATTCCATTTTATTGAAAATCCACTAAACAGTTGAAAAATTACTTTGATAGGACCTTTTGACTAGCTCTAAAACTGACCATAGGGATGAACTATGCAGTGCTGGGGTATTAAGAAGCACTATGCTCAGAACTCTGCTCTTTTTTGCATAAGTCGTGAAAAATGACGTGGGTTTTATGTCACTTACCTTGTGCATTCTATTTATTGCTAAACAGAAAAGCATAAATTCATCTGGAAGCTAACACCTTTTTGTCTTCGTTCGGTATTCTGACAGCAGTTTGTGGGTAGAACTTATTTCTAAGCAGTAACTGAGAAAAATGTTAGTGGAAAATGAGTGGCATATTTATAACGCTAACTTTGGATTATTCAAGGACACCTCTGGTAGCAAATACTGCGTAGCTCACTCCAAAAGTAATGCCTCCTGTTTATTTCCACGGAGACAATAACAGACACAAAGAGCACAATAACACTGTTTGATAGAGCAAGTTCTCATTTACAGAACACTGTTTTTCAATGCCGTCACCACCATTAGCATTTTTGACAGCACTGAAGTAGAGACTGCATATCATGCTCATAAAAATATGAGCACCAGTGGAGGTGACCCACAGCTTCACAGTGATTCACCACCCACCCCTTGCTGTGCTCACATTCTCTGGTTGGCCTCCACCAACATTCAGCAAATGTTGTTGAGCATCAGTGGGTGCTGTTGTTCCCCCGTGGAGGAATGAAGGAATTCAGTTCCCACCCCTTTGCTTCATCCACATTTCCATGCCAGACATCCCTGTGTCAGACTGCCCCTCTGCTGCCATCTGTCACACGGCAACAACACGTAAGGGGATATTGGTGGGAAAGTTCAGCCTCTTACTGCCATACCACCAACTCTCCATCCCGGCTCGCCCCGCCCCGCCCCGCCCCCCCGCCCCCCGCAGGGTCGAGGCGGTCCCGCAGCACCGCTTATTTGACCCCGCGCCGGGGGGAATCGTTCTCTTTCTGTCCCGGCTGCAGGAGTATCCGCTCGCCGTCACCTCCCTCCCCTCCATCCCTTACGCCATGCCGAACATCGTGCTGTTCAGCGGCAGTTCCCACCACGACCTGTCCCAGCGAGTGGCCGACCGCCTGGGGCTGGAGCTGGGCAAGGTGGTCACCAAGAAGTTCAGCAACCAAGAGACCAGGTGTGTGGCGCGGTGGCGGCCGCTGGGGGCGCGCGGAGTCGCCTCTCCCCGCCCACGGCCCCGGAGCGCTGTCTCCTGAGCTCGGTCGCTGGAGCGTAGTATGGGTACGGTCGGGGGTTATGAGCAATCTTGTGTTTGCGGATCGTAGCTAGCTCTCGTGTGACGTTTTCCTGAGCCCCGAAAGTTCACGGTGCAGTCGCTGTGTTGCCTTCATCTTGCAGCTTCCTAGCCTTCATCTAGGCTTAGCTTCCTAGCGAGCGATGTGCTCTTGCTGCCGAGAAGGCTAATGGTATCCAGGGCTCTGTTAGGCAAAGTATTGCCAGCGGGTCAAGAGAGGTGATCATTCCATTCTACTCAACATTGCTAAGTGCTGGCTCTAGTTCCAGGCTCCCCAGTACGAGAAAGATGGTTGTATTGGTAGGAGCCCAATGAAGGGCCACCGGTGTGCTGGAGGCTGGAGTGCCTCATCTGGGAGGAGAGCTGGGGCTGTTCAGCCTGGAGGAGAGGAGACTCAGCTGTCTATTTTATCGAATTCTATAAACACCTGAATTGTTATTTGTAGGTGCGTAGAAAGGGCACATGCTGCCCAGAGAGGCTGTGCGGACTCTTCCTTAGAAATATCCAAGAGCTGAATCTCCAAGAGCTATTTGGCCGTGGGCCTGGCGCCCTGCTGCTGGGGCAGGGACTGGAATAGATGAGTTCCAGAGTTCCCTTCCAACCTCTAATGTTGGCTGATTCTGTATGAGCCTACATTTTTACCTGCTTCTGAAACACCAGTTCCCGACTCTGGCTAGCCTCTGCAATTGTTGTATGTTTATTTTCATCTGTTCTTGTTCTGAATTTCCCAAACAAATGTGTTTGCATTGCTTTCTGTGGAAGATTAATATATTGTGCTCTGAAATTGCTCTCACAAAGCTCTTTGTTCAGTGTTTTTTTTGTTCTTAGCCAACATGCTCTTGTACTACTTATACCTACTGACAGTATTTTAAGCCCTCTTCGTCCACTATTTGCACCTCCTGATGTTTGCACCCTCTTACTCTCTTCATTCCCGATTAAATGAAGTTTTAAATCTCAGATCTTTCCAACCCCATGATTGCTTTATTGCTTTTCGATCTCTTTTCTGAATGATTAAACTTAACTTGTGTTGTTCATTTGATTGCATGATTTTCATGCTAACTTATTATTTTGTTTGTTTGTTTCCTCTCCAAAGATTCTTATCTTTAGTTCTGCAGCTTGCTAAGTTTTACACAGAGATTCTTTGATTTACATTTTGTCCAAGGTAGAAACTTACCCCCAAAGTTTGCCTATCTAGTTTGATGCAAATGAAATAAATGCCAGGTATCAGGATAGAATAAATTCTCGTCTGCTGTTCTGCTTATTTTTCCTGGCGAGCAAAATTGGTCTCTGCCATCAAGTAGGTGGGTAGTGGTGGCTGCAAGATGTCAGTGGTTTGGCTAATCTGGCAATGCCAGTTTATTTTTCATGGGCAAGTAGGGACATATTGTGGTATAGATAAGAGGATGGAATCTAATCTAGCAATTATTTCTGGTTGCTTCTGTTGCAGCTTTGCTAAACAGACATGCATATTTTTTTTTTTGCTTTTTTTCCCTTTTTCAAGAACTTAATGTCTTAATGCTTACACTCTTAAGTGTTTATTTTCTTGTTCAGCTTCATACTACTCAGATTCTGAAATGAAGCTCATGTTTCCCTTCAGCAAGTACATTTGTACCAACTATGTAAATTATACTGTTAATTTTGAGTGGGTAATCTTTTTAGTTTTCTTGAGCAACTTATTCAGGATATTTGAGCAACAACTATTCAGGATATTTGGTCTTTCAGTTCTGTGGACTGACTCTGAGAATTCCTGTACAATATATTTAAAATTAAACTGCAGCTAAAATGTATAAGATATTTATGCTGCAGTGTTCCTTTTCTTGTTTATCATACAGTCTCCTTAGCAAGTTTTCTTAGTGTGTATATAAGCAGAAATTTTTCTTCCCATATAAAAAACAGTTCTTTAAAAGGTAGTACTTGGAAATTTATGTGTAAGTTAATTGGCACTACAAAATACATTGCAGTATTGCAGAATAATGTGACCTAATATTTAAAAGACTTGGAAAACCTTAAGCCTTCCAATGGCTGTCAGGGCAGAACCTTGTGCAAATAAGTAAGCTGTGGCCTAAGGGTTAATTAACTTTTGCTTTATGTCAGATCTGCTAAAAAGTTTCAGAGAAGATTCTCCTTTTTGTTGAAAATCTCTTTTTTGCTGTTTGTTGCTTTATGTTAAAAGTAAATCTGAATTATGTGTATCTTGATAAATGTGTGCAGTCATAGGCTTAAATACGTGCCACAGGGTCCAAACTGGAAGCATTTTACTTGAGAACTTCATGTAATCTGGCTTGCAGAATGGAGTGCTTGGAAAGTGATATTAAAGATTTTATATTATATTTTGGCTCAGAGATGCTCTGTGTCCCCATCCTCAGTAGATGCAAGTGATTTTGAAGAACTAAACCCTGAGGTTAGCCAAGGACAGGGCTGCTATTTCTATGGAAAGTGTAACTAAATTAACAGGTGCTTTATCAACTTCAGGAAAACTTAAAATTTTAAGTGCTTGTTGTAATTTATAGTGAGATTATGGCGTCTGTCAGTATGTCTGTTCTCATGTTCTTCAGTCATTCAATATTCCTACAGATTTGGAACTAAGAAATGTAATATCAGTGCTAGAAGAGGTGCTGGAAGTCACAGGTAGCATTGACAGATGTCCATCATCCTCCATATATATATATATATATTTTTTTTTTTCCTTTTTCTATCTAAACAACATGGAAATACTTTCCTTCATCTACCAGAGCAGCTGACCTTAACTGAAGCAGGAAGAAAACTCTTAAATGATATCTGATTGTGGAAGATGTTTCTTTTATTTATAGCTTGTACATTAAGCATGTGTGCAGGCCACTATGTCATCTTTGGAACATGGTTGGTACCACCCTCTCACTCACCCAGTAAAATGCTAGGACTGCAGTGGAAACTTAGTTTGTCTTCAAATCCCCACAAGGATCTGCCATCAGTGCAGTTTGGAAGGCTGGAGCAAGAGGGCAGGAATGAAACCCTTAAACAGGCACCATGTGAAACTGACAGATATATAATAGAAACACATAAAGCACACGTGCTGTTTTCACAAAATTGTCTCCAAAGATACTTAGAAGACACCTGATTGTAATAGATACATAATTAAATGACACTGTATATCACTATGGGGAGATTGTGGAATCTCGTTTTGAGGTATTTAAAACCTATGAGGATGGTTTCCTGTGCACCCTATTGTAGTGAACCTGCTTTAGCAAGAGGTGGGACTAGATGATTCCTGCCTACCCCAGCAGTTCTGTGGGTGTGATTCTGTATGTTTAGCTTTCTAAAAGCTATTTATTTTAACTCTTTATTTGAAGTACTTGTTATTTTCAAAATGGAGAAATTGGAGTCATAGATTACATCCTCTCACACACTTCTCTCCTAGGGGAGGAGTTGCCTTCCATCCATTCGTATGAGTTTCTTAACTTTCAGGCTGAAGTCCTTCTAGTCTCAGCAGACTTAGGAAGAAGGGAACTGGAGTGAATTTGGAGGCTGCCTGTCTGCAGATTTCTTTGGCTGCTGGGGCTGGGTTATTTTCGAATCATCAGCTTAAAGTGTGTGTGGTTCAACTTTACAGAGGAGGCATGTATTGGCTACAGAGAAACATTGTGTACTGTATGAAAACAGCTCTGCTGTTGTTATGAAGGTCATTTGTTTGTAAATGAATACACTTTAGTCCAAGTTACCTGTTTTAATCATGGAATTGAGGAGAAAGTAGCTGATGCTTCCGCAGTTAATTTTTACAAGAATAACCCTCTATTTCAAAATGGGATCATGATCAGTTTGTTATGTAATATAAATCAAGAACAAACCTTTCTTTATCAGGAAACTTTATCAGTGCTACTTATCATGGATGCACAATTTAAATGGCTGAGATTTTCTTTGCTTGAGAACAGTCTTTAGCATTTTCTTCCCATTTTCCCCTTGATGTACTTCAACTCTTCTCTTGCAGTTACTGTATATATCTGGGATGCAACTTTGGTATTTTTCCCACTCTGATGTTTCTCTGGGCTCTAGTTATGGTGCAGGGAAGCTCAGTTGGTAGGATTTGGGGTATTGTGGGATGTGCATCTCTTTTCATACAGCCCAAGTACTTAGCAAATGATTCACACCTGGAGCTGTAACACTGCTTGGGGTAGCTGAAGATGGCTGGGTCCCTTACTCCTGGTTCTCACTGTAGTGAGCACAGTGAGACTGGAGGAATATTTTTTTACTCATGTGGCTGGTTAGGGTAAGAATTATTTCCAGATTGCATGTTTTGTATGTTTTGCTTACGTAGGAACTCAAGATACAGTTAATATGCTAGTGTACTGTATTGCTAATAGCTCAGACTTACAAAAAGGCCTGAAACTCCTTGAAAGCTCCTGATTTGAGACTTCTGCATTATTGACTTTGTTGTCAATTGTGTGCTTCTTATGGAGCCTAGACACATGAACCCCCGGCCCCCCCCCCCCCCCCCGAAAAAAAATGCTTGTGTTTTTTTTTTTTTTTTTCCACCATTAGGACAGGGACAGTTGGAAATGAAAATCTAGTTGGAGATTGGCCTTGCAACTGTTTGTCGCAGCGAGAGAGCCAAGAGCTGAAGAGATAATATAGGTGCCAGGAGGTGTGGAATCCTTACAAACCTACAATAAAAACGCCATGGTTCTTGTTTGCTTTCTGCTTTGATGTTCTGTTATTTAAATAACTGTGCATAGTTCAGGGGATGGGAGTGAGCAGGAAGATTGCTGAAGAAACTGGGATTCCCCATCCCCTGCCCCAACTGGAATTTGAAAGCATCTGCAGTTTAAATGATCTGATTTATTTTTTTTTTTTTTCCCCAAAGGAAATTCCAACATCAAGGAATTTGGGATTTTTCCTGGAATCTCAGCTCAAGTGCTGTGAGGGAGCAAAATCTCACCATAGCCTGTCTCCAAACCAGCCAGACTGATACAACCCCTGTGCAGCTCCACAGGGCTGTAGTTCCTTTCAGCACGCTCTCAGTTGTGCTGTGCAGGACACAGCTGCGCTCAGCTGATCAAGCAGCTCTGCAGCTCTTCAGGAGCTCATGATTGATGGAGGTGGATCTCATGAATCTGACATTTTTATTGCTTGATACTGATGCAAAATGATGTGTTCATTGTATAACATCATGACAGCTAAAATATTTACTCAATAAATTGGAGGTCTTGCATTAAAGACTTTGCTCTGCAAATTTGTTCACAAAGGTAAAGTTCACGCACACCCCTCTGCTCAGTGCTTCCTATTGGATGCTTTTTGATGATGTGCACATTCAGTACGTGGTTTTTTTCAGATTGCTCTTGAGGTATTGATTCCTCTAGCATGCTGTGTGAGGACTCTAGACGCTTAATTTTGGTGGTATCTGTTAGTTTCAAAAATGTCTGAAGTACAAAGCTCTCTTATTGGCACCTAAGTTGCTTGGCAAAACTTAATTATTACTAGTATTGCTAGAACACTCATCTTCTGTTATATTTTCTTTTTAGGAAGTACACAGAACCCCTTAGCTGCATGATTTTGATTTTGGACTGAATCCTAGCTGTTGTCTGGTATTATTTACCCATTTAGTGTGGCTTCACATACTTACTTTGCCTGCAGTGTCTTTCTGAGTTATGATATACAAATCTAAAATTCCCAGTGCTATTAATTTAGTTGAGAATGCTCAGTCTGCTGTTATCCCAGTTTTGAATTTTGCTTTATGAATGTTTCAGCCATTTAAATGTTTTATATATAAGTCATTCTCAAAACTTATCCTTAACGTATGGTTAAAAGTCTGCCTAAGTTTCTGCTTGTTAAATTGAGCTCTGGAATCAGTCTTCATGAGATGAAAATGATTATCAACACTCAAACTTTATTTTCATTATGTCTTGTCTTGCACTCATCTTTCCTGGCTAGCAGCATGTGCTTGTGGATTCCATGCAACTGGATTGAGTAAACTTAGTTAACTTTGCTATTAATCTGGGTAGTTTTTACTTTAAAGCACTATTAGGTGATTTCAAGGCTTTTAATGTACAGGTTCTGTTTACTCTTCTTGAATGAAAAGTTTATGTAAACTGTTGCCAAATAGCTGAATTTGATTCAGTTGCATAAAACAAACAGAGCTTGTAATCTTGAGGCAATAGCTTGTTCTTGCGTCCTTCCTCTGTGCCCTGACTATGGGGAATTGTTTAAACAACGGCCCCAAGTGTATTGGCAGTTAATTAGGTCATGATACAGATAGCTGAAATGAAATCTAGTAGCAGTGCTAATATAATAACAAACATGAGGATGTCTGCTGTTAGCCTGTGGTCTTTAATAGAAACTTAAGATGCTTCATACAATATTTGACGTTGTAGTTGATAGTGTCTTACTGTCTGTCTGTTCAGACCTGAGTGTTTAAGAATAAATAATAAAAAATTTTAAATAGTAGAGATAAGCAGCAGTTGGCTGAGCCTAGGCATTAGCTCTCAATACCTGACTTTGAGAAGGTAGGCAGTGAGAGATATTAATCTGTTGTTTTCTAGTTGATTGGGAGGAGATTTGTGCAATAATAACATTGTTGTTCTCTGGCAGCTATAATTAGATCCCTCTTCAGTGCTATGTACAAGTATTAATTTAAACTTGATTTATTTTAATCTGTACATGCCTTCTGTGTCCACAAGGAAATATATATATATATATATATATATATATATATAAAAATATAGATACGTTTACATTTCTGTGTGCTGAATATGTATGTCTTTTTGACCTGAAAAACATAAGCAAAAAAATGCGGAAATGCATCAAGAGATGAAGTAGCAACGCTTTTATTTTCTAAGTTGTTTGCAAGATGAAAAAGTTATCCCAAACCCAAGGGCATTGAAAAGACAGTGGTTAATGACAGTGTAAGAAGCATTACTTCAGGGCCATTGTATCAACCAGATCTATATTTATCTCAAAATATATTCCCTTCCCTTTTTGAAACTTGTTATTTCTTAGTGGACTGCTTAGAAATGACTGTTTTAAGGGAGTAAACATTTCAGTATGTTATAAATTCAGTGTTCTTTCTGTATATAATGAACATTAAAATCATATATTTTTGCTTTTCAGCAAAGCTTGTTCCTATTACATAGTGCATAGGAAATTACTGGCTACATCTTTTTATGCACATACTAAAATTGTGTACTGCCATTCTTTGTCACTCCAGTGACGTTCTTCCATGGAACTGGTAGTATTTTCTTTGTTGCTTTCTACTTACTCCTCCTTTGCAGTGGTTCCTAGGTTAACATCAAGAACAGAAGTATAACTTCATAGTCTTGAAACACCTGTCACAGAGCTTTTGCTATATGATGATGGTCTTCAAACCTATTCCAAAGGTTTGATATGTGACAGCACTTGCTTTAAGCAGTTTTGTGCAAGTGCCAAGTAATGATATATATTTTTTTAATCCTCATCGTAATAGCTGTAATCATCAATGGTGAGTAAAGCTGCATATGCAAGCTAATGAGTCGATGCTTTACTCATAGCTAAACTTCTGAGATGAGGAGGAATGACAGGTTTCTTAATTTTGTTTAATCTGGGAATTGGACCATGGTACTCCAACAGATCTGTTTTGCACAAGGCTTCTAATTAAGGTTAACATCTTCTAGTCATGGGACTAGATGCTCTAGCTTCTGTCTGAACTTAAATTGTCTTGAATAAAAATCAAGCTAGAAAAATATTTAGGATTTCAGAAATATTTTTCATGTTTTTCTGCAAATAGAGCTATTGCTCAGAGCAAAAACAGTGTGTAACCACAAATTTAATCACTCCACCTTGATGGGAGCCTCAAAAGATAGGAGAGGCTACCACTGAGCTATCTGAAGATGACGCTGTTTCTCACTGTCTCTATCCTCCTACTTATCTTTACTTGACATTTTGTTTTCATTTGGCTATAAGAAATGGCGTTGGTAACATCCTTAAGCAAAAAGTTATTAAATTAATGAGATGGAGAGGTTCTTTTTATAAATTGTTTTGGGAATACAAGAACTGAGGACAAGGAGCCACTCATTCTCTCTTTAGTGATCTTGGTTGCTTTCTTCATGGTACCATAGGTAAAGTGAAAATGAAAACACATTGACTTGAATAAAAATTGAAAGCAGAAGAGTGCAGTGAGGCAGAGACTGAACAACAAGATGAGAGTCAGGGAAGTTGAAGAATAAAATGTAATTGGAGAGATAAATAGATTAAATTAGGAGAGAACCACTACTAATGCAAGGAGTCACAGGCAACAACTGGATGGATATGGCTAATAGGGTAAGCTCAAGTATGAGTGTGGATAGTGGAGCAGGCTCAAGTAGCCAGGAGGAAGATGGACCAGAAATTAGATTTAGAGTTAAGGTTGCAAAATAAAGCACCCAGGTTACATGGCTATGAAGGAAGGGTGCTTGTGTATTACCTTCTGCATCTGCTTTATGACATTGTCTTTAATTGTGTGATCACATGTATTTTCCACAAGACTCAATCTTTCAGTGCTCAGCATGAAGCTGCACATTGCTCAATGAGGGGGAAACAAAATAATAGCTGCTACTTAAATCAGCACAGTCTGTTTGCTGCAGTTGAATTTTATTCTAGTTTGCACACCTTCAAAGGGACAGGCATTCCTTTCTGACAGGTACTTTGTGGCAGCTTTCAGAGTGTGACTAGTCATACTGCACTCAACTATCATGATGGTAATAAATCATGTGTTTGCATGTCATTAAGATGTTCTTAAGCAATAAATTCCTTTGTGTTCTGTAGCTACAAAAAGCTAATAATCTTGTGCAGCACCCTGGAAGCTGATGAATTAAATCTGCTTGGACTATGCTTGACTAGAATAAGCCTCACTGTGAAGAATGCGTCAGAGAAACCATTTTACCCATATCTGGACCATTTGGATGGTTTCCAGCTAGAGCTTTTTGCTTATTTCTGTCTTTGGTCAGTAGTTAACCTTTCAAATAAGGGCCCAAGATATTTAGCTTTCAGTGATTTAGACTAATTTATGGTAGCATGGGTTTGAAAGATCTGATTGCCTCACTTTGGAATTCTGTCTATATATTTTCTGGGTATTTTGCCTGGAATCAGAGGAAAATGCAGGTTAGTCTGCTACTTTTGTGAGTAATTTTTGGAGTAACAGGTGTAATAATTGAATATGGTTCAACAGTAGACTTCTCTTGATTTGTTCTAGAATGGAAAAATATCATATTCAACTGCTCTGCTTGAATTTTCCTGAAATCTATAGAAGAGTAAAGCAACTCCTTGATGCCAACATGAGTACATGAGCTCATGTAGAGCAAACAGAGCAACTGACAAAATGTGCTAAGATTTGAGTTGCATTCAGCTGTTGGTGAACAGGTTTTTGCTTGAACTTTTTTTTCCTGTTTTAAATACCTTGCTTAGATCTGGTGGTGTACCTTTTCACTTCTAACTTTTTAACTGATTTTTTTTTTTTTTTTTTTTTTCCCCAAAGAGTTTGATACTTTCCTCTTCTAAAATGCAGTGATTTCTTGAATTTATTCATGTGTTTACAAAAGAAAATAAAATTCTATTTTTAGGCTGAAGTAAATTTTAGTCTGGCTTCTATTGAAATAGACTTTGTATCAAGGGCAAAATTACCCAAACCAATATTTAAAAAAAAAAAAAAACAAAAAACCAAAATCTTACTCTAAATGGCTGTAAACCTACAAATGTTTGTTAAAATAAAACTGTTTGTCTGCTCTTTAATAATGCTCTTCCTGTAATTCTAGTGACTAAACGGCCATCTTCTACTCTTTCAGTGTAGAGATTGGTGAAAGTGTGAGAGGAGAAGATGTGTATATTATCCAGAGTGGCTGTGGAGAAATAAATGACAACTTAATGGAATTGCTCATCATGATCAATGCTTGCAAGATTGCATCATCCTCCAGAGTCACTGCAGTAATTCCATGTTTTCCATATGCTAGGCAAGATAAGAAAGACAAGGTAGGTGAGAAATGTGTGATTTCTGAAGTGTTTTCTCAGCTTCTTCCTTTAGAACTTTGAGATTAAACATACTTTCATAAACATTTTAGAGTTTTATAAGGTGTTTTTCCTTTTGCTCTTCCTTTAATGTTCTACTGTGATAAGAAATTATATAATTTGCAAATGAATTAAGTGATACAATACATAATTTTTTTCTTTGTTTTCCTAAGTGATGAGGCCTTCAGTTTGAAAAAGTAGATTCATCCTATGTTTGTGATATTCCAGAGTATTCTGCTAGGAAATCTCACCTTTGGGACTGCTTTTTCTGCTTTTTTCTAGTTTTCCTTTTTCTTTTCTTTATATGAAGAGAGTACATGTAATTAGTACAGTTTAATAGAATTAAATCCTAAATTTGGAGTGCTGTGAGCATTTTGCAGGTAGTTTTTAACCTAAATGAAAGAAACTGATTTGTTCTACAATGCATAAGGATAATGAATAAAAACAATTACTTATGCTGTAAGGTAGATCTAAAAAGAAAGAAGTTTATACATAACAATTTGAAATAATTAATTTTAATTGATGAAGGCCAAAAATTGAGTAAAAACCCTGAAACACTTCTTCTTTTTCTCAGCCAGGTTGGATGAGGTCCTGGGCACCCTCACCTTGTGTTAGATATGGAGGTTGGCAGCCCTGTCTGTGGCAGGGGGGTTGGAGCTTGGTGATCCTTGAGGTCTCTTTCAACCAAGCCATTCTATGATTCCCTGAATTTGGTCTGCTGTAACTGATGAATAACGTACCAGTTAAGCCAAATTAATAAGGCACTAACAAGTTTGATATAAAATAAAATTCACGAAGCATAAGAAACACTTAACCTTTTGTCTCCATATATATACAAAAAACCTGATGTTACTTTCATCAAAACTCACTGGAAAAGAACTAACAAGTGTAAATCAAATTGTAATACTTGTCTTTTGAGAAAGTTTTCCTCGCTCATACTTTTTTAAATGGACTGCCCCTTTTTGCTTTGTACACTGGGCAAAATCTGAAAGCTCTGTTACTTTCATTCAACTATTTAAAATGTAACAAGACTGACAATGCGGAAGATAAAAATACTTGCAGGTATTACAGAAGGCAGAATTCTCAGCCTCTAATGGAAAAGGTAAATGGAACAAAATTACTTTCTAGTATGTTTACACTGTAAGTGTAGGCTTTCTTATACAGCACTGATATTGTGCTTCCAAAAACTGAATTCAGGGGTTAGGTACAACCTCCCTGTTCTTCATATAGATCTTTTGGAACTTCATTTTGCTGTGTTCCTGTATTGATTAAAGCTCTCCCTTGACTAGGAGTGCAGAGGGATGAATTTTTTTATTTTTATTTTTTTTTAATCGAAATAGCCTGGAAGGGAAACAAGCTCTTCTTCAAAAGGGAAGGAAGGTATCTTGGTATGGTTTTGTTTCCAAATTAGTACTCAAAGGTTCTCATGTACCATCATAAAAGCTTTTATTTTAAGGGAAGGATGAGTATGTCCCAGCTTGTGTGCATCTAAGCAATAGCTTGTTAGGGGTACCCAAAATTCATATGACAGGCTTTCAAGAGATGGTTAAACCACATGTATGGTGGTTCAGTATCTTTCTTTAGAACATACTATCTTTTGAAATACTACTGGAAGATGAGTAGCGTGGGAAAGTATGGCACTAATAGAGATTCTGAGTATTATTTCAGACTGTTCTCTAGGCATCACTGTGTTCTCCTGCAGTTCTAGGCAAACTTTTTCTTTTTTTCCACTTTTTAACCTCTGTTTTGCAATTGAGAAAACATTTGTAATCTTTGGAAATTAACCTTGGTAGTTAACCTCCATGTTGCACAGTAAGCTATGATATAGATGTCGACATTAGGTAGCTTATTGACCATGAGATCCTTCCCCTTGCTGGTGGATTGCATCACATCACTTGGTCTTTGGTCTGTGTTTGGCCTGTGCTTTGAGTTCGAAGCATCAGTGAAGTGCTCACTGTTTTCTTACAGTGGTTATAAGTGGATTTTCTTCTCTCTGACCCAAGGTACTACTGTTACTTGTTTGAATGTGAGGTGAATCCCTATCATTGCTATCTGGATGCTGGCTTCTGATTTAAGTTGCTGGCTTCAATTCATAAAGAACTAAATGGAATGAGTCCTTGCTGTTTGAAATACCACCTTATTCTTCATGGAATAAGATGACTGAAAACATTGCAAGTCTTAATTTATTTATTTAACTAAAGGGCCTTGTAGTAAAGCATTGTATTCTGAGCAAGACCTGTGTAATTCATCATGAGAATATTAGTATTGAGCCTTGGACTAACTATATATGAGGTAGTTTGGCTGTCAACAGCGGTTCCAGTGGTCTGTGCCAGTTTTCATGCTTATGCAGCTGAAGAAACAGAGGTTTAAAAAAGGAGGAAAGAAAGAAAGGGGAAAGGATATTTTAAAAAAACAAAACAAAAAAACCCACAAACTTGTCCAGAGTCCTAGAGAAGTTGATGAATTGATTTAGACATGATCAAGTGCTGTCATAAACTAGATTACTTCTGATACACAAGCTAGCTACTTTAGTTCAGGTGCTTTGACCATGGTTGCATTTAGGCATCCTCTAACTATGCTAACCTTCAAAGCCATGGGAAAAACATCTATATAGGATGCAGGATGCTTCAGAGATGCTTATGAGATGTTAGAAGTATAGCAACAGGTGAGTTTGGTGTTCTGCAGCTCATGTAACTTTGTTTTTTTGATTTGTAGAAGGGAGCCGTGGAGCGTTGGGTAGGTATCTTTTTTTTTTATTTTTTAAATCTAACTCTATATATTTCCATTAACATGGCCTTAAAGGGTGAAACTACTGGGTTACATTATATATAACTGGAAACGTTTTCAGTTTCACTTCTTGATTTCAGTTGTGTTTCACCTGGGCCATGATATTAATTCTGTGGAATTTGCTAATAGAGAAGTCCTAGCTTCTACTTAAAATTTACTTGGATGTTTAATGATGTCAATTTCTAAAGCTTCAAAGCTTACTTCATATCCAAAATATAAATTTAGGTAATAAATTAGTGAATGTTCAGTATCCATACATTTCACAACTGGCTTTCTTGGAAGTGAAAGTTCCAGTTATAAATCTTGGGATTTTCTTGGACTGTTGTTTTTGTTGTTTTTTTTTGTTTGTTTGTTTGATTGTTTGTTTTTTGTTTGGTTTGCATGTGATGTATTTTGAGCAAGACAATGTAATAAGATGCTTAAAGGCAACAAAACATTAATCTTGACAGACTCCTCCTACTTTCCTTTGCATAGATATTCTTGTGAGGGTGTTTTTATTAGCTTTGTGGATTCTTCCTCTGCCCCTGGTAATTTTAAAAATTGCAAATAACTTTGTAACACATTATAAAGGAAGTAATCATTTATATAACTGTCTCTATAAGTGAGTGGGAAATTTGCTTAGGAGCTAAAAACAGTGCTTTTTTTTTTTTTTTTTTTTTACAATTTAGTTTCTGTACATAATTTACTGTCGTTTCATGCTTATAATTGTGAAACTAATTTCAAACTGTATCAAAAATGAGACAACAAATATAGTGAATCTTCTTGTGTTCCTACTTTTCATCTGAAGCAAACATCACAAATTCTCCAAGATATAAAGGAAATCTTCAGTTCCCATCTACCTTTATTTCTGAATAATGAAGCCAGGTTATCTGAGGTTCTCATGAATATACTTCTTTTGATTTTAAAATAAACTTCAGTTTGGATCATTTTATAATAATTGCTTACCCAGAAAAAAGTTTTTTGAAACTTAAATTCTTTTGAACATGTCATCAAATGTGTTAGTTTTGTTTATTTCTTAATGCACAGTTTTGTGTAGAGGAAACTGTCAGATGGCCACACGCTTCATTTGTCTTAACCTCCTGTTAGCCCACCCTTGGAAAACAGATTTTGATGTCTGGCTATCTTTCCCTCCAAGACCCTATGTCCAACATGTAGGCAATCTGTGATGTGCATAACTACTAAATGAAGTTACCTAGTGGTAAAACTTCCAAGTTCTTCCTTCTGGAATTCAGCCTGCAAGGCCAGTAGCTGAAAGAAGTACCAGTTGGTAATGTATTCATTTGCACTTGGTGCAGGAAAGGTGGTTGTTATGGCTTTTATTTGTGCTGATGATACTTGTGGTATTGACACATGAGACAAGCGAAGTGGTAATCTCATTCAACAGAAGTGAATAAAAGAAATTCACTGTTCCACCTGAAGGTAGAAATGGCAAACTTTTTATGGGAATTTGCCTTGATCAGCTAGGCTGAAGCAGTTACTGGTTTCTACCAGAAGCAGTGGTCCTCTTTAGCTGTCTTCCCTTCTGTTTTTGCTTCCTTGTCTGGCTGCTACGGGTTCAGACAAGCAGCAATATGAAACACAGGGGAAGCTTATAGACTGGGAAGAAGGAAGGGATGGGATAAAGAGGGGGGCGGATTTCGGGTTTCAGCATTGTCTGTTAATCCACCTCATCAAACCATGCCTTCACAAGGAGCTGATAAGAGAATGCTTGGTGGTGGAGTCCAAAGAGTAGGTACTAAATCTTTGTTCTTTTATGTGTTGCCAGGGATTTGAGTATCGTGAATCCTAGCTTTGAAATGTCTGTTTGAACTGCTAAGGTGAACTGGGATGATCAGGAACCTGAATGGCATGAACCAGAACACTTCTACTAATTGATAGAAATATTCAGAAAGTTTTGACCAGCTTGCACGTAACAGAACCCTTATAGAATTGATCTTAAATGAGGAGCAGCATAGTCCTCACTTACTAGAAAATTCATGTTTGCTGCAGCTATAGTGGTTGCAAACTGTTATGCAAACCATATGCATATGAATTGCAGTGATCAAGGGAAGCTCAGCTGCCATTCACATCTTCAGTGTTTCTTAGACAAACCAAGTGAGGACAATATTTTTGTGCAATGCAGAATCAAAACTAGTGTCATTTTCTAAGTGAGAATTTTCTTGATGATAAACTTCAAACCATAAAAAATGAATGCAGTATCTTGGTCTCTTTTCTGGAAATACGTTGTCATTCCATACATTCAAACATGGAAGTGCTGAGTTTGTATCTAAATTACCAAAAGTTCTGAGGAAAGTAGTGTCTCCTTGGTTTGATGTAGACAAAATAGCATCCATTTTTAAATAGCAGTAGTTCAGATTATTTTTGGTGATGCCTTTGAGCATCAGTGAAAGAAGAGCAGAGATACCCCGTAATTATGTGTGGAGGAGAATGGTGTTCCTGAGAGGTTAAATGATGCTATTTGATAAAGAAATGTAACGAGAGAAAATACCTTGTGATCAAAACCCAAAGTCTAATTGTGAGAGGGCACCTCTGAATTGCAATTCTGTTTTAATGCTAATGACGTTAGTGCTAGCTACCAGTCATATTTAAAGGCAGGTAAAAAGGAGAAAAAAAAAAAAAAAAAAAAAAAAAGACATTTCGATTAATGTTTCCATTACAGACAAAGCTGTCTAGGGCAACATAGCTAAAAAATCTGAAGGAACTTTAAAGTTAACAAAGACTGCAAGAAAAAAAAAAAAAAAGGTATCTTCCAGTCATGATTTCCTTTTCTTTTCACGTTACTGTTTGTTCTGCATCATTGTCAGCTTAAAAAAACCGCTTGGGTTTAATTTTGCTGATTATATTTTTGCTCTTCCTTTGCTCTTTTCACTTCTCTGTTTTTTTTTTTGTTTGTTTGTTTGGTTTTTTTTGTAGTTCTTTTCTTCCATGCCTTCCCTTGCCCCTTTTGGTGATTCTAGATTACTAATCACATCCAATAATTAAGCCTGCATTCACAAAAAAGAATAAATAAATAGGCGGGGGCTTGTTCCTCTGCCTACGTGGATCTCTTATAGGTTTTACTGTGTGTGTGATGAAGAAATGCTTGATACTAACGTTGTTTTAAAGTGCTTTTTTCCTCAAAAATTGGGTTTCCTCTCACTTTGTTCTTCATATTTTGTTACTTTTTATTATTCACTTTTTAATGGGTAGGTGCCTGAGAGTTGGATATTTACGTATGGGTAGTGGCTTAGAGAAATTGAGGTTCTGTTTTTGTGCTACGGAAAAGCCAACTAAAAGTTTGAAATAAAGGAGCTGGTAAATCATATCTCCAATTCTGTTTGTTGGTAAAAATTAATAGGAGGCATTATTAGGCAGATTTTTTAAACCAGTTTAAAGCTCCTAAATGTTTTGCTGAGTTCAAAAATCCTAGTGGCATGAGTAGCTATTGACAGGCTAGTTTGGCTGAAGTTATGGAGCTCTTCATAGATTCCAGCTATTCTAAAGAAAAAGAGATAAAAGTAACTAATTATCTGACACCATGTATTCCGCCTAAATGCTTTTATAATGTAAATATTTGTGCTTTATTTCTCAGAGTCGTGCTCCAATCTCTGCAAAACTTGTTGCCAACATGCTGTCAGTTGCAGGGGCTGACCACATCATCACCATGGACCTGCATGCTTCTCAGATCCAGGTAACTATAAGTTCTTCCTAACTGTGAGTAGGTGATCAAATGAATAAAGAGATGCAAGAAAATATTACTTCTGTTTATTTTTTTCCTAGTTCTGCTTTTTGAAGGAGACCAGCTTTTATCTTATGGGGTGATTTTATGGGCATTTTGAGTAGGTATTGGACGTTGGAGTCTTCAGTGGAATTTTTCAAGGCTAGTATAAGGGCTTCTAGAACATACAATGTCCTTTTATGGGAGGAGCTCTCTTAATCTCTCACTGGTTTTATCAGAGTGCACAATACAGTTTGGTTGGTACAACCCGGGGAACATTATTCACTTAAGAGAAGTGGAGATGGAGACTGGAAATTCATTTGCTAGCTCTACTATTGAACCAGAAAATCACAAAACTGCTGCTCAGACACAGAGCAGACATTTTGTCATTCTGTCATGTAAAACTTTTCAAGTTAACTTTTGGGGGGTTTTTTGTTTGTGTGTTTTTTGAGGAAATGCTTTCTTTTCCTCCTTTTGGCGTTCTGTTTATTCAGAGCTTCAGTTGTGCTAAGTGGTTGTCATGCAGATAAAAAGCAGTTTTAATTTGTGGTTCAGTATAGATTTGTTGTTAAAAACTGCACAAAAAGACACGTTCCTTTCTTGCTGACCAGTGCTAACTTAAATTCTCCATATTGAAATACTACTGTTTGTGTCAAGTAGTTGCAATTTATGGGAGTTAAATATTCCTCACTGGATTTTTTTGAGAGCTTTTCATACGCATGAGTTTATGTAGGTGCCTAAAGGGAATCCTTTCTAATTTAATATCATTTGATAACAATTGTTCTTCATTTTCTGCTCTTGAGTGAGATTTTTAGAGACATTACCATTTGTTGAACTTCCACTGAATTTGGTAGAAATGAGAGGGAAGAATTAGGCCACTATAAAATACTAATTAAAACCTTGCTATACCTGAAATGCAAGGGCTTGATTCTTTTCCAGTGCCTTCATTCGAAGTAAGGTATAAATGTGTATTCATGGAACTCTTTTTCTTTTTGAACTAGGGTTTCTTTGACATTCCAGTAGATAACCTGTATGCAGAACCTGCAGTGCTGCAGTGGATTAAAGAAAACATTTTGGAGTGGAAAAACTGTATCATAGTCTCACCTGATGCAGGTGGTGCAAAAAGGTACTATACCAGCCTAAGACTAAGTGATTAATGAATGTTAGTCTAGTCATCTTTTCGATCATATGACTTTTGCAAGATACAGAGTATATGTCTGGTGAATCTAATTGCATTGTGAAAACAGAATGACTACTTTTCCAATGTTTTTCAAGCTTGAAAACGTTCAGGAGTTTTCTGTACTCTAAAGAATTTTTTTTTTTTTCTCTCTCCCTGTATATGACCTTGTTTGCTGAATCCCTATGCAGGAGGGAAGATACTTTTCTTGCTGCTTGCTTGCTTTAGTCCAGTTGCTACACCTATTCCTGCTTTATTCTGGAACTGCCTAAGTTTCCCTTCTCTTTTAAAGCCTTTGGCCTATCTCCACTGTACCTGCTGGCATCTAGGTAAGCTCTTGCTTGGATCAAGTTTCTTTTTTTCTATAAGTTATTACAAGCCTATCTCCAAGTTGCACGTTGTGTATATTGGAAAAAGAAGATGACGTTTTGGTTTGGCTGAAGTTGAAAATAGGAAAGCCAATTAATTGGGGTATTTCTTCATTTGCAGCATGTGTTACTCATTTAGGAAAACTGTTTTGTTTTCTAATCAGTAAAAACTAATGCAGAAATTGAGGAGCACACTATCTGTGAGATGATAACCATGTTTTACTCTCAAGTTACTGGTCACAAGGCTTGTAGAAACTGAATGGGAATGAAGAGAAATAAGAATCCTGTAATTCCAAAAAGTTTGGAGTGTAATTTAGGGGATGTAATGAAACACTGCCACACTGTGATTCTAATTGAAGACTTTTTGTCGTCTGCAGTGTGCTCATGGTGTTCATATTCAGATAACTGGGAAGTGTGATTAGAACTGTAGAGCTATTCCTGTTTAGATTCTTCAAGTTAAAGATGTGAAGAATGTGAACTACAGAAAGCATTTTTTGTCAAAATACTCCAGTCAATTACATTTCTTTGTTACTATGTGAATATTGTTGTTTTCAAATGAAAATGCATACAATTTATTACAAAATAATCCACTAGTTAAAAATCAAGTCAGAAAACACTTTTTCTCATAGCAAATATTTTTATCAAATATTATTGCTATCACTTATTTTTATTTGTATTTTATGAAGTTGATGATAATTTATTTTTGCTGCCTTACTGAAGGGTAACCAGGCAGCTGCTGCTGAAGCAGAGGAGGAATTTGCTCTCTGTAAATTCAAAGCTTCTCCCTCACATCATTTAATATGATGCTGAGAAGATGGTTGGGCATTTCCATTCAAAGCATGTGGACCTTCAAAATAATTCTTAAGTTAATGAAAACTGAAGACAATTTTTTTTTTCCACACTATTAAGTTTTAACTCAGAAGCATTAAAGAAATTTGCTTGTGCACTCATTTGAAATATCTTTTTTCTTACTGTTTGCTTGTTTTTTGTTGCTTACTAAATTTTGTGGCTGAAATAAGGCATATGAATCTATTGATACCTCAGTGCCCCTGAATTAGTGAGATGTACTATGAAGTTACTGTATTATCCACACGCACAAATGTCCATGCGAGTTTGTAACAAAAAAACTCCTTCATTTTTGAGTGGCAAAGAAACAAAACTGTTTTCTATTGAAATGTGCACGTTACTAACCTTGCTAACAACAGTATCAAAATATTCTTCAAAAGACAGGCTGCAAGGCTGTGCTATAGTGTGGGACAGCAGTGTTATTTATTCCTGTGTTTATTGCTATCTTGTCAAACCTGCTAACCCTGGTATATTGAAAGGTTTGAATAGAGCAGTTAGAAGTCTATAACAAAGTTTACTATAGGAAGTGTGTCTGGCCACCAGTGGTTTCCCTGAAGAGTTTAAAAGATCTTTGTCAATCCAATGTATTGCTAGAGAGGTGCTGGTGAAGTAAACTACTTGATTTGTAGAATCATAGAATGGCCTGGGTTGAAAAGGACAACTAGTTTCAACCCCCCTGCTATGTGCAGGGTCGCCAACCACCAGACCAGGCTGCCCAGAGCCACATCCAGCCTGGCCTTGAATGCCTCCACGGATGGGGCATCCACAGCCTCTCTGGGCAGCCTGTTCCAGTGTGTCACCACCCTCTGTGTGGAAAAATATCCTCCTAATATCTAAACTAAATCTCCTTTGTTTTAGTTGAAAACCATCCCCTGTTGTCCTATCACTAAATAGATTGCTTGTCATGTGCTGCTGAAAGAATTATTAATCACAATCAACTGATTTATTTGCTGTTTACCTGTTTTTTTTTCCCCTATGAATTTTGTTTCACATTCCAGCAAGGGTGTTACAAGTTAGGATGCTGAAGTGCTTATAATTGGAGCTATCTTAGACTACATATTGCAGCAACTTAATGAAAGCTTGTGAACACTGAAATGTTTTCAAAGTCAAACTGAATTTAGAAAATACTCATCTGGACTATAGCTTAAGTCACTGGTTAGTTTATTAACAGTGAATTAAGGGTGTTTCTAATATGTCTCACCACTTGCAAAAATCTGTGCAGTTACTTAAAAGCAAGAAATCTTGCAAACTGTTTCAAGGCAAATAACTAAGTATGATTCTGTTCTTTTAAAATAGTATTCTGAATGTATTGTATTTCTCCCTGTCATCTAGGGTTACTTCAATTGCTGATAGATTGAATGTGGAATTTGCTCTCATTCACAAGGAAAGAAAGAAGGCAAATGAAGTGGACAGAATGGTCTTGGTGGGCGATGTGAAAGACAGAGTAGCCATTCTTGTCGATGATATGGCTGATACATGTGGCACAATATGTCATGCAGCAGACAAGTAAGTATTATTATGAAGTTATTCAGTGTCTCATGCTGTAACCTGCAGATAGCAGATGAACACAGCTGCTACGTACTTATAATTCAATCTGACCTCTGTGCAGTGAAGTCACTCTGATTCTTGACTCGTTGTCCTGTAATCAAGCTCTGTCCTTCTTTATAACACGGAAATGGGAAGACTTACAGAAATATAATGTGTGCTTGCAGCCTGGAAGGCCAACTGTATTCTGGGCTGCCTTAAAAAGATGAGAAAGAGGTGATTGTGAGGCCCAACGTGGAGTACTGGGGCCCCTAGTACAGGAAGGATGTGGAGCTCTTGGAGCAGGTCCAGAAGAGGTGGATGATCAGATGATCAGAGCGCTGGAGAACCTCTCCTAAGAGGAGAGTGGAGGGAACTGGGATTATTTAGCTTGGAGAAAAGAAGGCTTCAGGAGTACTTCATTGTGGCCTTCCAGTACTTGAAGGGAGCAGATAAACAGCCATTCCCCCTCCTGTGGAATAGTGGGTGGATAGTGATAGGACAAGGGGGAATGGTCTTAAACTGAGACAGGAGAAGTTTAGGTTAGATATGAGGAGGAAGTTTTTCACACAGAGGGTGGTAACACACTGGGAACAGGTTGCCCAAGGAGGCTGTGGATGCCCCATCCCTGGAGGCATTCAAGGCCAGGCTGGATGTGGCTCTGGGCAGCCTGGTCTGGTGGTTGGTGACCCTGCACATAGCAGGGGGTTGAAACTCAATGATCATTGTGGCCTTTCCATTATTCTAATCTGGATTTGGATAGAGGGCAGAATAAAGAGAATGTTGTGGAAGGGATTTTAGCCATCTAGTGCATTTTTCAGTTTTGAGGCAAAAATGACAGAAAATGATCCTTTTCTTCACTAGATTTATATTAAAAAAAAAAAACCTTTTTTTTTTTCCTGATGTTCAGTGTAGATTTAATATTTTTGACAAGTGTCTTCAATTTAAAGCACACTTATCCTTTTCATCCTAGGAGCTGAGAATACGTTTTCTCACTTTTTGTTTAGAAGGTAGTTGAAGATTGTTTTCATTTCCCCCCACCACTTCCCCTCCACTTCCCCCCACCACTTCCCCTCCAGACTAAAGAACCTCTATTTCTGGAGTCTTTCTGAGATTTCTAGGCCTTTTCTCTTTGCTAATGCCCTCATGGTTCTCAGGTTGTCCAGTTGTTGAAGTATGTGACAGATTCACTATCTGGACTGAGTTCCTATTAATGCTCCTTTGGAAGTATTACTCTATGACTTTCAGACTGGCCTTACAATGGTATATTTAAGGGTATTAGTAAGTTGTATGTTTTTTCTGCAGAAGCTGGAATTACTGGCTGTGCTGAACTCTGTTACTGTTTGTAGCCTTAAACATTTCCTGTAGCTCTCACCCACCTAAAAAGAAGTCCCCAAAAAAATAATAATAAAAAAAAGAACTGCTAATGCATGATAATCCTTACTGTTGTGGCTTCGTGAAAACTCAAAAATGCATAACAGCTATTCTAGCTTCAAAGACATCTTGGCAAACTGGAGACATAGAAACAACTATAAGAACAGATGTTAGGCATGAAGAGATGAGCAATATTAGACTGATGTGCTCCAGCTCTTCCACCTATATTCCTGCATGTGCTGCCAACTTAGGTTTTAGAGGTCATGGGCTGCATTCTGAATTTGGCCCAGAAGTCTGAGTTTTAAAATCTTTGCTTCAAAGATCTTGTCTTGGTATAGTTGATATCAAAGGCCACACTCGTATGACTGTATGTAGTTGCATTTTGAAAGTGGGAAGGATAAAGCATGGGATGATTTTAAATGTCTGCTGCTGAACACTTACTGCAGCATTGCTTCTCTTGCATGTAATCCTTTATAAAGCTAACATTTCAGTTGAGATATGTGGAATTTTTCTTCCTGCCTGATATATTTGTAGATGCTATGAATATACAGAATAGACTTGCATTCAGAATAGGGCCATGTGATACTTCCTGCCTGAGTCATTTCAGTTCTGCTGAAGTAATAGAGTGAAGAAAGAAAAAAGAAAGGTCCTTTTTGAGTGATACTGTCTTATATGATGTTCTTGTCAGCAAGTAGTGATTTTCTTTAATGCCAAATCTAGATGGGATGTACATTATGATTAATCAAACTTGTTCATCAAAATACCTTAGACCTTTCTTTATCTTAGCACCATAGATGCATATCTAGCAGATGAACTAAGGAATTTGTTTCTAGATATAGCAGGTGAACTTGCTGAAGTGTTCGTATTGCCCTCCTAGTATACCCTCACTCTATTGTAGTGACCCTCCTTGTAGATTGCAACTACCAAATGTAGTGCAAGGAATGATCAGAATCCTTTGATTCTGATGAGTCATTCAAAATAAGATGTTTGTGTTCTTTCTTTTTCCAGTCTTTCTGTGCTCATGCTACAATTTGATAACATATCTACTGTTGATGGCTTCCATCTGTCTTGACTGCATTTGTAGTCTTTCATAGCTGTGAATGTCTGGAGGCAGAGAGGCCAATCAAAGCCAAATTAAGTGATTGTGACTCATTCACAAGTTTTTCTAGCTCTTCAATCTGTGCAGGTTTTCTCCTGTGCTGTATCATTTTTCATTGTGCTTGGATCAGCAGCATGTCTTTCCACAAGCTTTGCAAGACACTAGGCTTTTAATCATTAAATACTTTTCTTCCTCAGTAGCTTTGTCCAAGCAGAATAGTTTGAATTACAAATTAAAGCAAAGGTGCACAATGATGGAGGCACAGAGTTGTGAATACCACTATCCAAACAGTTCTTCCTGAGAGGAAAAGTTATGCTGTGAACTAGTTCTATGATCTGTTCATGTGGTCATAAGTACAGCACATTCATTTAGTATTACTGCTACTGATAAGAAGTTTGTTAATTAAATAAGGTTTTTAGCAGTTACTTTTGGTAAGACATAGTAGTCATATAAACTGAAAAAGTTCAAAGTTGTCAGAATTGTTTTGTAGATATTTTTATCTTCCTGTAGCTTTCAGAGGATTTTATGTGTAAAATTGCTCTTAATGTGGGCAATTTGTGAAATTTTAGCCTTATGAAGGTCTTACCTGTCTTCATGTATAGCCATATATTTAAACATGCATTACAGCTTACTGCTTTGTATTCTGCAGGTTAGTATCTGCTGGAGCCACCAAAGTTTATGCTATTCTTACTCATGGCATCTTTTCTGGTCCTGCTATTTCTCGGATTAATAATGCAGCATTTGAGGCTGTTGTGGTAACTAATACAATCCCCCAGGAAGAGAAAATGAAACACTGCCCCAAAATTCAGGTACTCTGTTTTTGTCACTTGCTTAAGTGGATTTACCTTTTGTTATTCTCTGGTGCTAGAGTTTGTGCCTTTTGCTGAAAATAATATTCACAAATACGCTGTGCAGCTTTGTTGTTTGCAGAACATTCTGCTAAATCATGCTAAAGAAAGGGTGATTGAGGTAGCATAATAAATTATTAACAATGTATGATACTGCAGCAGATAGATTATGCATGGCTGAAAGAGTAGCAAATGTAAAATTTGCTGATTTCTTTTTTAAAACTATGTTAATCATATGAAGTCTGAATGCAGAAACACTAGTTTATCATGATAAAAAGCTTAGGCTTCTTCATTTTGTTTGAAAATACAGTATAGAAAATGTCCAGGATAAACTTAACATATGCTTGCTTTGAAAACCAAACTGAAAGTAAAAAGTTAGCTTACCTCAGTAACTTCTACATGAGGTTATTCTGGAAAGTCGTGTCCTGTTTCTTAGTGCAGAGTGGAGGAAAGCCTAAAATAGTGCTTTTTAAATGTTACTCTGAATCAAGTAAAAAATGCTTAATTTTTTACTTACTGGTGCAAGACAGGCATTTAAAAGGTGCATTTCCATTAAATCGTACTTGTGTAGACACTGCCATCTGATGGCTGGAACAGTTTCTGTTTGGCAGTGTGCCCTGTGCAACATTGAAGTCTTCAGCAGTATGCCTGTGTAGAAGGAACTCAGCATTTTTATCTTGTTTTATTTCTTGTTATTAGTATTGTATTGTTATTTTCGTGTAGGTTAATTACCTAGTGCTTTAATGTAATTTTCCTACATAGAAGATGTAAGAGAATAGAATAGTAAATTGAATTTTTGTATACAGTTTCTCTATAAACTGTGGTTTATTGTTCTTGTTATCCTATAAGAAATTGTCATCCTTACTTTTTTGTATTTCTTTCTTTCAGTTTATTGACATTTCCATGATCCTGGCTGAGGCCATTCGAAGAACACATAATGGTGAATCTGTATCTTACCTGTTCAGTCATGTCCCCTTGTAACTGCTGGAGGTTACATCACAGCTTTTTGAAGTCCTGTCAACTCTCGCTGTTGTTTTTAGCAATGCATCTCAAACACAAGAAATCAGTATACTTGTAAAATTCCAGAGCTTGTATGTTTAATTATTATATATGTCTTGTAATTAGCATTTTTTTGTTGTAAATGGACAATAAATCTGTCTTGCAGAAACTTTCTGTGGATTCCCTGGAGAGTTTGGGAAATTTCTGTGTTCTTTTATATGCTCCTCACTTTCTACTGAGCTGCTGCTTCAGATCTTTTTTATATACAGAGCTACTGAATGTCTGTTCACAGAACTGAATGAAATTTATGCACAAGTTTGTCTGTGTTAAGCTAAGTGGTGCAGGGTTGGACATCTTGCATCTATTAATCTTTCAGGCAAGCAGATGGTGACTTTTGTTTAACAGCCATGATAGGCTGCTATTTTGTAAGCCATAAGAGTTTAAACTTCCTTTTAATTTTAAGGAACTGTTGACACATCATAGTATTAACTGTTTCATACATTTTTTTGTTCCTTTTCCACATGATATATAGGGCTACTGTTTTCTTTTGTAAAGCTCTCAGTGTTTCATTGCATTAAATCATTTTGTTAATGTCTATTTTGTGTGGTTACTGTCTTTGTCAAATTTATGCTTCGATATCCTGGGATGATTTATTTCTTCCATTTCAGTAATAAGGATCAATCTTTAATCATGAGCAGTTTCCTTTGAATTTTTTTTTTTTTCCCCTGTAGTTTTTAATATTCCTTGAGTCCATACAAGTCATTTCATGGCTGTTTTCCTGTTAGTATTGTAAAGCTTCATTATGCACAGTCCAAACAGTAAACTTAAATACACTTACATTCATGAACATCGGTTTCTACCCACATTTACTTCATGAAAAGGAATCTGAAATACTGGTCTTAAACTGCATGGTCAATAGAGCTTCAATTTGCTATCATGAAGTACTGCAGTACTTAACTCTGCAGTCAGTGCATTATGGTAGGTGAGGCAGTCTTTTATCCTTTAGCATTAGAGAATTAAAGTTGTTATGAAGACAGTTTTGTCTCTCTTTTAAGTTATTGCAACCTACAGTTAAGTAGTGGTAATGCAGACAGTAATGGATTATGGGGAGAAAATATATCTGACATTCTGCTTCTGGGTCTACAAATTTTCTATGGGGCATTTTCAGCCTTCCTGCTAGGTTGTAAGAGTTGGTGTGTGTTGAGGTACTGTCCCTGCACCTAGGTAATGGGAAAAGTTGATTTTCCACCTGGAATTGCAGTTGTTGAATGGAAGAGCATAAGATAGGATGAAATAAGGCTACCTTACTTATTTTAGGGTGCATTTAGTGACGTGGTGTTGTACTATGAAGTGGATTTTTCCTGTAAGATAGTCTTAAGACAGACAGTATTTTCTTCCCCTAAGAAAGTTTCTGGGAAAAAAAAAAATAATTAAAAGGACAATAAAGACTGTTTCTTCTGTATGTTCTCTATTCTATGAATCAAACATACTACTTTTAGTAATGAATACAGAAATGTGTGTATAAGATACTGTGATGGGAATTCAATTCTCATGAGCTCATTTTTTTAAAAAGTACTTCATAATACAATGAAAATTAGATTATTCTGACTAGTAAAACAATTCTTAAATGTAAGATTATTTTTCCTACCATCTTGAAAATATTACCTTGCAGTTAAATTTTTCAGTTGAAGTCTATGGCTGTGTAATTATACCAGAAATGTAGAGCTTATGCATAGCAATAAGGTCTACAATATACTTAATATGTGATGTCAGTTGCACTTTCTAAAAATCACATATGTTTATGCTGAATTGTCTGCCCTTACTGTGCACCAGTATTGTAAACAATAACATTAAAATTACTTAAATCACTTGTCCAGAGAGATTGCTTTTATTCTTTAGTTACTTTTTTCTTCTACACAGGTCAAGTAGGGAAGAATATGGTGATACTCATGCAAACCTTGCTCATAAATCATGCCACAGCTGTCTTGGGTGTAAGAATGAACTGTTATTCACACCAGACTGATACAGAACTATATAACAAGATCATCCTTATCCTTTATACAGTCTGCGAATGATACAATGTTTAAATATCTATGGGAATTTGAATTAATGCTTTATGAACAGCTGAAGCTTTTATTTCTCAAGTTGTAAGCAAAACAACTCCACTGTATTTAACAAGATTAGATGGTAAGGAAAGAGAAAAAGGAGAATGCAGTAATGTTTGTGTCTGCCACGTCTTTCACATTTGAAGTGATCATGAAGTAGTAACTTGAATTCTAAGAGCTCTATGAAATATCCCATCCATTTTGACAGCAGTCATAGAAATAGCCTTTTTGTGGAGGTAGAAACCTTGATGTTATTATTTTAAGGCTTTTTAGTGCTTTAGATTTTCTCTGGCCCATTTGGGGATTCTTGTGTGAAGATTAGTTAGCAGGGTTCAGTCAGGTAGGAATTATGAACAGAAATTTTGAAATAAAAGAAAAAATACTAGACTGCATAGCTGAACTTAGAGGTTTTAGCTGCCATTTACAAAACTTGTTTTGATTGGTTCCATTCTGCTGCCCTAGTGGGAGGTACAAACTTCTGCCTTTCTCAGTAAAAGTACTTAAAGTTTGCAGTCTTTCTGAAAGCTTTTGCTATAGACTGCAATGTTTTAACATCAAAGGACCAGGTCATGTTGTTGCGATTGGGAATGTATCTGAGTGCAGGTATGAATGTTCATGTGTGCTGCACAGGTCCCCTTCTGTTAGCCAGCAGGTAGGTTGATGTTGGCTGGCAGCCTAGCTCACACCTAGCTGCTTGTTCACTCCACAGTAGCAGGAGGGAGGAGAGATTTGGAAGGACAGAGATGGAGAAAGATTTGTGAGTGGAGATCGTGACAGTTTAATAAGGGACAAAGGAGTGTGGATGGTGAATGTGCTGCAGAAGCAATCAGTTGCCACCTCCTGCTAGCAGCCTGGTACCTGAGTCACACTCTGAGCAATGGCTACTTGGAAGAAACTTCCCCTCAGGTTCTATCCCTGACAGTGTCATAGGGTAAAGAATGTCCCTTCTGGGTAAATTGGGGTCAGCTGTCCCCTTTCCCAGCATCTTTGCCTAATCCTGTAGAGTGAGGAACAGAAAACTTCAATGCTGCAATCGCTGCTTGGCAATAGCAAAATAACTGGTGTCAACACAGTGTTGGTCATAAACCCAAAACACAGTGATGTGCAGGCTGCTATTAAAAAGTTAATTTCATCCCTGTCAGACACCTATGAGTGGATTCAGTCATCTCTTCTCTAGGGCTGTGTTGTATTTGGAGGGAAAGGTAAAAGAAGGGAAAGATCATTAAACATTGATTTGAGCTCCCAGGTAGTTACTGCAAAAACTGAGTGAATACCAGTGTATGTGTATATATACAAATAGATATCTGTGCTTTCTTGATGAGCCTTTAAAGTTTTTTCAAAGGCAATATCAAGCCTCATAATAAATGAGAATATAAGGTTGCATCACCTCTAAAAGCCTGATAAATTGGCGTATCTGTATGTCTTTCCATTTTAGCACTCCCTCAGAGCTTAAGAAAAATGTCATATACCATGGCAAGATTATCTACGTGAAGCTCTTCAAATCACCATGGTCCTGTAGGCTAGTCACTTCACCAGTAAGAAATTGGACTAGAGGGTATCCAAGCCCAAACTCCCCCTGCACATGCCAGCTGTGTGCTTTGCCAGCATTTGTGCTCATCTCCTCTTCCAGCATTGCTGCCTTAGCACTTCTGTTCCTTCCACAGAGGAAAGAAGTCATGCCTCTGCCTATCCTATCTATTTATCCATCAGGAAGAGGGGAACAGAAATGCTATAGAAGCAGCACTGAGTATAGAAACTGTCTTATTTCAGGCGTTTTTAGATTCCTGCTTCCTACTTTGTTGGAGACTGAGGAACAGAAATGCCAAGCACCTATGCTTTCAGAAAATGCAAAATTGATTTGAAAACACCAATCAATCTTGGTCAATCTTGGTCAATCTTGGCTCTGTGGTTGCCTGGGCAATTGGTTTTTAGAAGTTGGAATTTCTGAAATGAAATAGGAATTTCTATTTCTGTGATGCTGAAAGCCACTCTCAATCCATGGTATAGTCTGGTCTTCTCTGCTGTTGTTTTCAGTTTACTGTTTTTGTTATTTTTAGTGCTCACAAATGCATTTCTACAACTGCTATCAGCAGAGGTTCTATGTTTGTGTGCTCCTTAAGGTTTCTGCAAATGATTTCATTATCATTTCCTCAATTCTGCTATCCATTTTTCTCTGTGGTTTTCTTTGTACATCTGTCTGCAGTAGTTTAAGGAGTCAGCTTACATATTGTAAAAGTTGAGCAATTTCTGTGATAATTTCCGTGGTAAATTAGGCAATGCTACACTGAAAGGGGTATTCACCATGAATACTTGGGGTGCTATCATAATGATTGGTGTGAGGGTTATCTCTTTAGAGAAAAGACATTACTGTAAAACTTTACGACTTGAACTATGCTACCCAGCTTTAAAGCAAATGCAGTGGCATCCTGATTTTGTAAATAAGCTACAGCAATATTCTGTAAGTTTTGATTTAGAAGAAAAAAGCACGTAGCAGTTCTACATTCATCAGTCTGATTTCAAGCTCAATGAAAGGCAAATGAGAATGAAGGATGTTAAGTCTCTTGCTTTGTTTAAGTTGCATTCTCTGTTCACAGAGGTGGCAGAATACATGCGTTGTGACGGATGAGTCCTTTCCAAACAGGTGATGTGGTAGTAGGGACTTTGCTGCTTTCAGTTACTTTGTGTTTCACAGTAGGCCAAAGAGATTTTGCACAAAGTCTGAGGGAAACCTGTGCTTTAAAACTCAGCAAGTTAGTGACTCCCTCTGCCTCTAGAAAACAAATTACAGCTCTGAATTTTGTGAATCCCGAGCTCCCCCTTGCTTATGTCACCCATAGGAAAATATGACTCTGTTTTGCTGCCCGTATTTCTTATCTTGAAAAAAAAAAAAAAAGAAAAAATAGCAACATTCTCACTTTGCGATTCAGTTAGTGTGCAGCTAAAATTGCAGTTTCACTCTGTGCGGAATTGAAACTCTCATGCTCTTGGCTGAGTGACAGGCAGTTCCTAACATGAGAAAAATTAAATCAGTCTTAGTCCAAAAGAGACACCAGTGAGACGGTACAGCTATCAAAGTTATCAAAGTTTGAAGCTGCAGACTGCTGGCGAGGTTTTCAAAGGCCCTGAGTAGCCATAGACAGTCGTTGGGTTAGGTGGCCGCACATTGTGCCTTAGAAAACTGACATGCAGCTCATGTTAGTGGGCATAAAGCACCTCATGCTTAAAGTCTGTTCCAGTGTAATGCTCCAGAGACGTGTCAAGGTTCTTGAAAAAGTCAACGGTTGCAGTCCAGCCTATGCCCTGCCATTCTCCTACATACGATGACACAATTAGTTAAGCACATTTGTTTTACAACAAGGTGAAGAGCTAAAGGTAAGTTAAAGCTCACTTTTTGCTCTGGTTTTCTGTTTTGTTCTGGTTCCCTTTCCGCAAGTCTCATTCACTTAGTAGACATTCTTACACTAAGGATTCATCTTAAGAGACTTAGCTGATTGCAGGTCTCAGTTAAAGGCCTGTTCTTACAGCTGTTAGCAGCAGAAATGAACCTCCAATAATAATAAAAAATGATTGAACTTCCAAATCTAAAATACTGTTTATATCAGGCTCACTTGTGGTCATAGAACTTGCACTTAAAAAAGAAGGAACTCAAGCTACTGCAAATTTATATTGCCCGAAGTGAATGCTGCCCTTGCGTAACACATCCCTCCTGTCTGATTAACCTCACTTTCTCATTCCAAGTATTTGACAATTGCACTCCTTTGGGTGTTCCCCGTGGCATCTTGGAGTCTTTATAGTTCCTTGAGGTCTAACAGTGTGGACAGGTAAGCAACGGAATTTAAAATGAGAAGCATGATCAAAAGCAACAGAGAAAGTTTCAGCATGAGATGAAAACTAAACAGCAACAAAAAAACCCCGTTGTCGCAACAGCACGTGGGTTTGTGAGCAATGCGGGAATCTGTTTAAAATGGAAAAAATAGGAGTGCCCAGTTATTTTTATGAGGAGCGGAGGAGTAACGGAGGTAGTGCTGTTTTAATTTTAAAGCCAGATATTTGAGGAAGTGGATTGCAGCAGTTGTTTCATGTTTAATTATTTCTCAAGCTGCCGTTCAGCTGAAGAGAAGAACAATAAAGCAGTGGTTGCTGCTGTTGTCTTGAGTGAGTTATGCCACTCCTCTCTACGGGATCTGAACCAGTGAAGACCTTTTTTATGCTGTTTTTTCCTGCACTGATTTACAGTTTCTTCTCATGACAAATCTTTCAGAAGTGGCAGCACACAGAAAATGGTAGGTGAAAGTTTCATTTTAAAGTTGTTAGTGCTCTTGGGCTGGAACTGCTGGGAAAGGTTTTCAAGAGTATATTCTCAAATTCTGCTTTTAGATGTCCAAATTCACTGTTGTGGCTGTAAGTTGCAATTTTAATAATGATAGGAAATGAGAATTTTACACTAATATACTAGGGGAAGAGTATAGTAAAGTGTTTTCTACTAGCTGTAATTCCTGCGTTGCTCATTGCTCTCTGGCCTTTCACTCTTTCACCTTTAAAAATGCATAAGGAATACTTACAGTCCTGCTGTTTCTGAATATTTGAAGAACGCCACAAATCAGATGGAATTCAGTTTTGGATTTGTACATATCCTCAGTTAATATTGGAATAGAAGTATTTCTGAACTTATGAACAAAAACATAGATCACAGAGAAAAGGACAACTCACATGCGTATCTTAGGTGTACTTTTAAACTACGTTTCTGAGTACAAAAACTTTGTATAAGTTAGCATTGTCTAATGTTGGGAACCAGCATTAGTAGCAGAGTGGACTCTGACAGGCAGAGGTTCCTTCCAACCCCTATTCTGTGATTGCTTTTTTCTTTTAATTTCATCTGTCTTCTTTATTTTTCTCTAGTACAGTACTGGGCACAAGGCGTGTTGCATGTGGACAGTTACACAGCACCAGACTGCAACAATTTGCATGCAAAATAACATTAACATTAAAGGGACATGGAGATGCAAGTTTTGCAGAGAAATGAAACTCAAAGAGAGTAAAAGCTAGGCTTGCTCTGCAAAAATGCCTGGATTCCTAAAAGTTCTGCAGCAGGTCTGCATTCAAAATCTGAGCATTTTACGAGTCTCTGTAGGCAATTTTTTGACACCAGAAGGAACCTTCAAAGATGTTCCTGAAGACTTTGATGTCCCAAATTCATTGTACCTGCCTTCAGGCCTCTAGTAGTACAGTGCCTCTATACCCAGGCAACTCCCTCCACGCTGTGAAGGCTGAGCAGCTCTGCAGAGGGGCCCCACTCCTAGATACCAGTGCACTCCAGGCTGATGGCACAGCATTGAGAAATACAAATAAGTGCCTAGAATTTAGTCCCCAAGTGTAGGATCTGAGTACAAATGCACAGAGAAAGTTGGTGATGATCTAGGCAGTAATGTCATGTTGTCCAAGTCCTAATTTAGAGCTTGGATGGAGGGGTTTAACTTGACTTAGCAAACTTAACTTGACCTTGATTCCGACTAACTTTTCCTCAACAGCAGCAAACCTGTGGTTTGCAGCAGGTTTTCCTTTTTTATTTTAAAATAGCCACTCAACTCAGATTCCAGTGGTTGGCAAGGCCATCCTTTTTCCCAGGCTTGCTGCATGGCATGGATTTAGTTGAATAGCACCAGTAAATAAAATTAAATGCACTGTTACTTAGCATTTTTGCTCGTCTAGTAAAATGTCATTACGTAAATAATTCAGTGTGTTTCCTTGTAAAGAAATAAGGCAGAATTTTTACAATAACGTACCCAAATGTTGTCTCTTTTCATTGAAAGACAGACCCTCAGTTTTCTATGTGATTAATTTTAATGGTAGTGTCCCTCCTTTTCCCTCCCACCTTCTTGTCTACATTAATTCAGAAATAAAGAAGTCTTCAAAAAAATTTTTGGATAGTCAAAGGAAACAAATGTATTTTATCTTCTCCATATTAGCTCCTATCTTGCTCTGATTATTCTTATTCATCATTTTCATTCAAGTGCTTGTCTATGTTAGAAAATTAGAAAAGTTAAATTCCTCTAAAGTTAACTTGTTAGACTGTACTGAAGACACTGGTGAATGATCTGATCCATGTCTTCAGTCTGGGTGAGTTTCCAAAGTAAACTAGTATATACCAAATGAAGATTATTTTGATACAACTAATGATTCACAAGAACTGAAGATAATTAGATATGACTCATTGCCTTGGAATTCAAGGGCAGCTTTTTCCTTGAGTAATTGTAAAAATGTTGGGTAATGGCTACCAATCTGGATATTTAACCAAATTTCCATTTTCTGTGAACTCACTGAAGAGAAGAAGATTCTGTAGCTCTTCCTCAGAAAAGGAAAAGAGATCATAGTGGAGGAAAGGCTTCTAGTACTAGGAATACTATATGATTTTCAAGTGCAAAAATAGAGAGCTCAGGATCTGCCCTAGACTTTTGCATTTTTCCATCCATACTGAGGCCTTGTATTCAAAAGCTCACTGAATGAATCCCTGTAGTGATTCTATGTAGTTGTTGAATCTAGAGAGCAGAAATGCAGTGCTGTGAGAGATTTGATCTAGCTTCACTTCCATTTGCTGCCTCGCTAGTCAGTAGAGCTCTCCTCCAGATACATAGATGAACAGGAGATTTAGTGTTGTTATCTGAAATAACAAAGAAACACTTCTGAAAGGATACTGAAAGGATACACTATTGTACGTAAACAGAGCATAAAACAGGAAGTCCCAGTTAATCTGTCATATACAAAACATGTTCAGGGGAACTCTCAGTAGTGTTTTCCCATACTGTCTATGCAGTGAGCAGGTCCTTGTATGTATTGAATTACTACAACACTTTTAAGAGACATACTCAATTTTAAACACCTTTTATTTTTCTATTTAGACCTACAGTTAACATAAAGCCCCCTGGACCCTCTCTCCTTATTGGACAGTGAAAATGTAAGCTGCTATTAAAGGATATTGAAGTACATCCATATTCCTTCTGAAAATTTACTTTGCTCGTTTATGTATATTATACAGCTGCATTCTGAGGGGTATCTAACATTGCTTACCCTTAAATAAAGAGAATTCACATAAACAGACTTAAGTACATACCTTGTCGTTTTTTTTTTTTTAGCAGATTCCTTAATTTCTTTATGATTCACTATTTGGAGAGTGATATTTGTCTTATCAGTGCAATATTTAATTATAATAACGAAAAAAAACTTCTGAGGAAATGTCAATACACGCCTTCCCCCAGATTTAGAATCCTTCCTAGACATCCATTTCTGGCCAGCATGAGACAAGATCCTAGGTTATCCCTGTGTTTGGTTTGCCCCAGTACATGTCCTATGACATTTGTTGCCATTGCATTTGATTGATACCTCCCTACTTCCTTATTTTTAGGTACGTCATGCAAAGATGTCAAATGCGCTGCTGACTGTCTTGCTCTTCTTATTTCCAATGCGGCTATCAGGACATTGGTTTCCCAAAACTTTACCCTGTGATGTGGAAGCCTTTGAAGGTACTGTGAGAGTAGACTGCAGCGATCGTCACCTCACGGAAGTCCCCAGAGGGATCCCTGGAAACGCTACTAACCTGACCCTGACTATTAACCGTATCCCCCATATCTCTCCAGCATCCTTTATTCAGCTTGAAAACCTTGTGGAGATTGACTTCAGATGCAACTGCGTGCCTCCCAGACTGGGGCCCAAAGACAGTGTGTGCACCACACCACCATCAATTGAGAATGGCAGTTTTGCCGCTCTGACAAGACTGAAGTCATTGTATTTGGATGCAAACCAACTGTCAGAAATACCCCAGGGTCTTCCTGCTAGTCTACGACTGCTGAGTCTGGAAGCAAACAAAATTTTTTCTATTAAAAAAAACACTTTTTCAGGGCTAAGAAATATAGAATTACTGTATCTGGGACAGAATTGTTACTACCGTAATCCGTGCAATGTTTCTTTTGAAATTGAAGAAACAGCCTTTCTGAATCTGAAAAATTTGACAGTACTCTCCCTGAAGTCTAACAACTTAACTTTTATTCCACCCAACTTGTCTTCAACTTTAAAAGAATTGTATATTTACAATAACAGAATTCAAGAGGTTCAGGAACATGATTTAAGTACCCTTCACAACCTAGAAATTCTTGATCTCAGTGGCAATTGCCCACGTTGCTATAATGCCCCATATCCTTGTACTCCCTGCCCTAATATCTCAATTAAGATTCATTCAAAGGCTTTTTATTCCTTGAAAAAATTAAGAATTTTGAGGCTTCACAGTAACTCTCTTCGGAGTATACCAAGCAGCTGGTTTAAAAACATCAAGAATCTCAAAGATCTTGACCTCTCCCAAAACTTCCTCATAAAGGAGATTGGAGACGCTCAGTTTTTGAAGCTTATCCCCAGTCTTGTAGAGCTGGATCTGTCCTTTAATTTTGAATTGCAGATGTATTCTCCATCCTTGAATCTGTCTAAGACATTTTCCTCCCTCTCTAACCTGGAAACCCTAAGAATCAAGGGTTATGTCTTTAAAGAACTGAGAGAAGGAAATCTAGACCCATTACTCGGTCTTAGAAATCTGACAGTGTTGGATCTTGGGACTAATTTTATTAAAATTGCTGACCTAAGAGTGTTCAAGAAATTCCAAGCTCTCAAAATCATAGATCTCTCAGTGAATAAAATTTCTCCTTCTTCAGGTGAAAATAACTTCTATGGATTTTGCTCTGATCCCAGGATTACAGTAGAGCAATACAGCAGGCAAGTTTTACAAGAGATGCATTACTTTAGGTATGATGAGTATGGTCGAAGTTGCAAGTCCAAAGACAAAGAGGCTGATTCCTACCAACCTTCGGTCAATGAAGATTGCATGAATTATGGAAAAACTCTAGATTTAAGCAGAAACAACATATTTTTTGTTAACTCTGTAGACTTCCAGGATCTTAGTTTCCTCAAATGCCTCAACTTGTCAGGTAATGCCATAAGTCAAACTTTAAATGGAAGCGAATTCTGCTACCTGTCTGGATTGAAATATCTGGATTTTTCTAACAACAGGATTGATTTGCTATACTCAACTGCTTTCAAAGAGCTGAAATTTTTAGAAATTCTAGATCTGAGCAATAACAAACATTACTTTCTGGCAGAAGGTGTTAGTCATGTGCTTAGTTTTATGAAAAACTTGGCCTATCTGAAGAAGCTGATGATGAATGAGAATGAGATTTCTACCTCTATTAGCATGGGGATGGAAAGTCAATCTCTTAAAACTTTAGAATTTCGGGGAAATCGTTTAGATATTTTTTGGGCAGATGGAAAGACTGAATATCTGTCATTCTTCAAGAATCTGACCAAACTGGAACAACTGGATATTTCCTCTAACATGCTCAGCTTTTTACCTCCTGATGTTTTTTCAGCTATGCCTCCAGAACTCAAGATACTGAACTTAACCAGTAACAGGTTGAAGACATTCAATTGGGGAAAACTCTACTTATTGACCAGGCTAATAACTCTGGACCTCAGCAATAACCTTCTGACTACTGTTCCCCGAAAGCTGTCCAATTGCACTTCAACTCTTCAAGAACTGATACTCCGAAACAATCGTATTACACGGATAACCAAATATTTTCTCAGAGGTGCCATTACGTTGTCATACTTGGACCTCAGCTCAAACAAGATCCAAATAATTAAGAAATCTAGCTTCCCTGAAAATATCATAAACAACCTGAGGATGCTGCTTTTGCACAACAATCCTTTCAAGTGCAACTGTGATGCAGTGTGGTTTGTTGGGTGGATCAATCAGACTGACGTGACAATTCCTCTTCTGGCCACAGATGTGACCTGTGCTGGCCCAGGGGCACACAAAGGAAGGAGCTTGGTTTTCCTGGATCTGAATACCTGTGAGCTGGACACATCCTATTTGATCATGTATGCTTTATCAACTTCAGCTGTCCTAAGTTTAATAACGTTTGCAGTTATGAGTCACCTCTATTTCTGGGATGTGTGGTATAGCTATCATTACTGCACTGCCAAGTTGAAAGGCTATAGACGTTTACCTTTACCAGATGCCTGCTATGATGCTTTTATTGCCTATGACAATACTGATCTGGCTGTGAATGAATGGGTGATGACAGAATTGGTTGAAAAGCTGGAAGATCAAAAAGCCAGACAGTTCAATTTATGCTTGGAAGAAAGAGACTGGCTTCCAGGACAGCCAGTCTTTGACAACCTTTCCCAGAGTATTCAACTGAGCAAAAAGACCATATTTGTGCTGACCAACAAGTATATTAAAAGTGGCACTTTCAAGACAACATTTTACATGGCCCACCAACGACTTCTAGATGAAAAAATTGATGTGATTATCTTGATATTTCTTGAGAAAGTATTACAGAAGTCCCGATATGTTCGGCTGAGGAAGAGGCTGTGCAGAAGTTCTGTTCTGGAATGGCCAACTAACCCTCGATCTCAGCCTTACTTCTGGCAGTGTCTGAAAAATGCCATAGCTGTGAACAACACCCTGGCTTACAACAAACTTCTCCAGGAGACTGTTTAGCTTTACTGCTCCCTGTAAAATACTGTTACTGTGTGTGGTGAGGAAAAGATACTGAACTTGCTATAGAGAAAATGTGAAAGTGGAGAGGATAAATGTAATTGTGATATGATTCTCAAAAATGAAATGCACAATCTGTTCCAAAGATACTAATTCAATTGTTTCGCTATGACAACATTAAATATAAACTGTTGCCAGCACAGATGCTTAGCTGATGCACACCTCATTTAACATTTGCAGCAAGAGAAGATGCAACAGAGTCACCACTCCCTGTTTCAGTTCATTGGAGAACATCTGACATCACCTGGCTGGGTCAAGTGTGAGTGAGACAATTGATCAGCTCAATCTAGTTCCCAAGATGCTATGAGGAGTTCAGTCATGCTTGAGATTGCTGCTGTTTGGATCACTGTTGGAGTAAATGTAATTTTAATAGAAAAATATTGTTAATGCATTTGTGTGTATTTGTGAAAATGGGAAAAAACACAAAATGTTGATTTCAGAAAATACTTTAGGTGAATTTCATGTTTAGGAGTTGGGGAAATGTATGCATGATTAACTCTGCAACTCAGGCTTCCATCTGCTGAGCCTACCAGTTCTGCTTGACGGGGCAACAGCGCTAGCCACTGGGGAGATGATATGCTGGTGGAACTTATGGCAGAAGCTTGGATGAGGTATGGGAGATCTCCCATTTCCCACTGCTGCATTGTCACAAAGGTTGTAAATCAGAAAAGATTTTGAAGAACTTGCATGTACCAAAATGGGAAAGTGTGAGAGAAGAGAAACAAGTCAGAAGAGCTTGCAAGCTGTGGATCAGGAGGAATTACAACGTAAAGGGAGTCTTTGCATGGAGCTGGCACATGGGAGTGAAAAAGAAAGGCAGGACAGCAAGCAGATAGACTGAGAGGGAAGGAAAAAAAAAAAAAGAAAGAAAGAAAACAGAGAAAAGGAGAGAAGAGAAAGAAAGAAAGAAGGAAAGAAAGGTAGGAAAAAAAGAAGTTGAGAGAGATGGAAAGAGTAGCAAAAAACAATGGCTACATGGGACCATGCTTAAATGACTGATTTGTTTGCCTCTGGCTGCCCAGACTTTCTCCAGAACAAAACACAGTCAAAGTACAAAACATGTAAGACCAAGTTGCAAAAGAATAGCACCCACCTGATTGTTTCTTTAGACATATTGTTGTTGCTCCAGAGCATCTTCAAACTTCCTTTACCTCCTTGTTCTCCCGGCAGGTCTATTTCTCACAGCAGCTGTTGAAAGTGTGAACTGGGAATGGGTTTGACTTTAGACGTATCCTAAAGAGGAAAAGAAACACTGTTCAGGAAAATAAATATTTGAGCCTGCTCCCTGCTTTAGTTCATAGAGCATCCTATACAAGCACATGAAAGTAATTCAGCTGGAGATTTTTCAATGACAGTTTAAACTTATGTGTGTTTCCTTGCACTTCTGTCTACAATACACTTTGGACAGCTTCTGTCATCTCTCTCAAAGCCTTACTGCTGCTTAGAACCTACTTGGCTGCCTCCTGCACTTATTCACCTACATTTCTGCCCAGTCCTTTCCTTGAACAACTCCTTTTTGATTTAGTTCTAGGCAACCAGGCGCACAAGAACACAAACACACACAAAAAAAGCAAAACAAAAAACCACACTTCACATAATGTTACAGAAAATAAGAGGGTTATTTTTCCCCCAGTTTGTCACACCAGTTTTATTGATGAATATCTGAAGCATGAGAAAGAGGACGGCGTAGTTAACAGAGTGGGTGCTTTATGGTTATATTTTAAGTAATACCTTGTAAGGATTGTGTTAGTAAGCCTAAACAATCTGTGTCTGCAAATAGAATAACATGAGATCTAATGCAACTCTCTTCATAAGGGAATGCTAAATTAAGAACTTCTGTCCTTCAGTTACTGCTATGCTGTGTCTCCCTTTCTCCCCAAAGCACTTCTGTCCAGAGCAGTTTTCTCTTTTTCAGCCTGAGTGGATAGTGCCAGGGCATAAAATCGCTTGGCATACCTGAGGTTGAGAGAAGTATTTTCTACTCTTGTACTGATAACTGACCAAAGGATGGGTATGCAATGAGTGGCAATGGGTATATATACAAAATTCTGATCTTGTGGTGTGGCAAGGGACTTATTCATGCTGTAGTGCAAGAGCACAGAGAGGCCAATAATGCAGCATGAACCCTTTTGGGAGTATCAGAGAGAGATGTTGAACTGTGCTGTGATCTGAAGTGGAAATCAAGCTATCTACTGACATGGCACTTCTCAGTGTTAGGGCTAGTGCTCTCAGACAGAGCCTTCATTACAGAGAATAGATCCCACTGCCACTTTCATGTGGCAAAGCACTTTGCAATACCTGTGCTTTTCCCCTGCAAATAAACACGTAGTCAGGGGAATAAGGAGAGAATGAGAAAGACTGAAACACCAATTTCTATCTCTCTTTCTATCTTAATCTAAAATAATAATTTCTGTGTCCCTCATTCTATTTCTGTGTTCTGTGGCACTTTGGAGAGGATGTATTATGGCTTATTATTATGGCGCCAGGATAAGTTTAGGTTGGATATCAGGAAAAACTTCTTTACAGAAAGGGTTGTTAAGCACAGGAATAGGCTCCCCAGGGAGATGGTTGAGTCACCATCCCTGGATGTGTTTAAAAACCATTTGGATGTGGTGCTCAGGGACATGATTTAGTGGAGGGTTGTTACAACTAGGGTCATATGGTTAGGTCGTGGTTAGACTTGATGGGTCTTTAAAGTCTTTTCCAACCTGAGTGATTCTATGTTTCTATGATTCTAATTAGCTGAAACAGGCCTACATCCTTCTCTTAAAATGCTTCAGGATATATTCAGAGGAGGCCACCTATTGTCCAGGACTTTGCATATTTTTCAGGCTAAAGATTATTCCTGTAGTCAGAGGACAGCTGAATTTGTTCTGATATTTCTTTGTTTTATTGTTGTTTGATTGATTGATTGTTTTTGAAGTCATTTCATGAATGGCAGCTAGCAACTTTTCAGTGAGTGTAGGCACAATCTAAGTCTCTAATTGGAAAAATAATTGAATTTAGTATTAGCTAGGATTTTAGTGAATGCATTTATTAAATAAGCATGCCCTTCATCCCTTCTGGAATCTTTTATTATAAGGGGGCACCAAGAAATGGAAGTTTTTTGGCAGATTCAAACTACTCATTTTTGACTTTGGGTATTGCTTGAGTGGTTAGTGTAAGAGTGTCTGAACTTATACAGCACTTTAGAGTGAGAGGTTTTCTATTCCAGTTTCACATGGTTTTATAGTGGTATATCTTGTGAACTGGTGTGAAGTCAATGAGGAAGAAGAGCATAAGGATACTTGGCTAACCTAAAGGTGGACGTCTACAGCTGCATTAACATATCTAAAGTTCATTCTCCTTTCAGAGGTGAGATAGAGGCATTTGACAAATATCACTTATCCTAACTCAGAGGATTAAGGTGAGTCAAAGTAATTCCACACCAAAAGTAGGATTTCTCCCCATTAGCCATGAGGTGTTCCTAAGGTGACTATGTCAGATGTAAGCCACTACGCTGCAGGTGCCTTCAGTTACATGAGTCATCATCTTGCTCCAGATTTACATATGCAGCCAGTGCCAAGCTGGTCCTCAATATCACGTGGACAGAAAAATATCAGAAATACTATAAACAGCAAATGTGTTAACCAAAACTGTTCTTTGTCAGTCTTCTGTTTCATTAGCAAGATTATACTAGATAATGACTACACTTGGTATTTAGACTACATGGCCTAAAACAACTACACATGGACTAGGGAGAAGCAGGAAGAAGAGAAGGGATGTTGGCAAATAGATCACGTTTTTACAATTCTTGTACGATCAGCAGAAAAATGCAGTATTTATAGATATGGTGATATTGTTATTGTGGCACAAGAAGAACAATGAAAACTAAATGAAATTCAGTAAAAACTGGCTACGCATGTAGCACTGAGAAAGTGGTGATGAACTGGTTTAAATCCAGCTGGTGACTGGTAGTGAGTGTTGTTCCTCAGAGGTTGATATTGGGACCCATTCTGTTTAAGATCTTTATTGATTATTTGGATGAGAGAATTGAGTGCAATCTCAGTAAAAAATGCAGACAACACCAAGTTGAGTAAAAGTATTGATCTGCCTGGGGTAGGAAGACCTTACAGAAGTATCTGGACAGACTAGATCAATGGGCGGAGCAAAGTGATTAAGTTTAACAAGGCCAAGCATCGGATCTTGCACCAGAACCCCAGGCAGTGCTACAGGCTTGGGGAAGGATGGCTGGAAAGCTGTGTGGAGGAAAAGAATCCAAGGACGTTGGTCAACACTCAGCTGAACCTGAGCCAGCAGCGTGCCCAGGTGGTCAAGAAGGCTAATGGCATCCTAACTTGTATCAGAAATAGTGCAGTCAGCAGGAGCTTGGAGATGATTGTCTTTCTGTTCCCAGCTCTGGTGAGGCTGCACCTCATGTACTGCATTCAGTGTTAGGCCCCTCATTACAAGAAAAATATTGAGGCCCTGTAGCGTATTCAGAGAAGGGGAACAAAGCTGTGAAGAGTCTGGAGCGCAAGTCTTATGGAGAGTGGCTGAGGGAACTGGGATTCTTCAGTCTGGAGAAGAGGAGGCTCAGGGGAGACCTTATTGCTGTTTACAAATACCAGAAAGAAGGTTGTAGCAAGATGGGTGTTGGCCTCTTCTGCCAGATAGCAGTGATAACACTAGAGGGAATAGCTGCAAGCTGTACCAGGCAAAATTCAGATTGGGTATTGTAAAGAATTTCTTTGAAACAATGGCAATGCATTGAAACAGGCTGCCCACAGAGGTGGTGGAATCACTGTCCCTGAAGATGTTCAAGGAAAGGGTAGAGGAAGTACTTAGGGATGTGGTTTAGTGGGCAATATCTGTGGTGAGTGGATGGTTGGACTAGATGATGTTAGAGGTCTTTTCCAACTATAATGATTCTGTGATTCTATTATAGTTTTATATGAATATGTACTTTGCTTCACATATGAGGAATTTAAAGTTGACTCTCTATGAGAATGATTTACATTGGAAAGGACCTCTGGAAGTCAAAACAGGTCTAATTTCCACATAGCATTATCTTACGTCCTTGTTGAGATGATATGAAGTTGGAGTACTTTGTAGGAAACATGATATCTTGCAAATGAACTTTAGAATCTTTAAAAGACCCTGTAAAGATCAGGAAACCTTGTTCTGTAGTAGATCTCACATTTGGGTAATGGGTATCAAAAACAGCAAAAATTTTTTGTCTTCTGAATACCGTTTGCCTCTTCTTCTCCTAAATGTTGATCTGAAGGTACCTAACTATGGAAATAAGCTCTCATTTACTCTGAACAAGATAATTAGGTCATTCAGGTTATAATTCTTCCCACTTGCCTCTGTTGTAACTCATCATCATCGATTGTGTGTGGAAGTTAGCCTCCTAATTTGGGAAGATAAATTGTCTGTCTAAATGCAAAGGACATACACATTCATCCATCGTTATCTCCACAGTATAAATGGGAAAATTAAGGTACAGAGAAGTCAAACCACTTCTACATTGTGCATTTGCTGCTGGTGAAACTGGAAAAGTGAATTTAGCCATCCAACCTGTAAAAGCAAACTGAATGTGTTGCTTGTTATTGAGCACATTCACTTGTACATGGAATTATTAGAAATATAGCTAAGCTGAGAATCAAATGTACTCACAGAGAGAAACTTATAATTTGGGTGTACAGATTATTGAGGTTGTGCTGAGGTAGATGAAAGTCCTGCTAAGTTACATAAAAATGTTTTTTGTTTTGTTTTGGTGAGAGAGTATTTTTGTTCAACATATGCAGCTGAAGATGTGATACTAGAATAACCAATGATATAAACCTGTGGCCTTATTGATTTGGTCTTTTCTTTCCTTCCTTTATTGTTACTGAGGCATACTGCTAACAGCAGAGTTTTGAGCAAAAGCAGACCTAGGTAACTGTGCTGTTTTAAAGGAAACATACACAAAATAAAAATCATCTTTGCCAGTGCAAACTCACTCAGGAATATTTAAGGAAATAATGTTTCAGGCTCTTCCTAGCAACGGTATGACAAAAGGATTAACAATGGATTTATATGATCATAGAAACTGAAGTAAGTTTGCACAACTGAAGTTTTTAGGTTTCCATTATTATTTTTTTTTCTGAACATTTTCTTTCTTTTTAAAAGCTATGTTCATTTTCACTACCTTAGCTACTGAGTTTATCTGTGCTGTACTCCACACAGTGATATCTGCAAACCTAACACAATTAATATTTTTTAAATGATTTCACAAGAATGAGAGGTTCCAGAAGTAGGTGTTGCTTAAAAACACATTCCCAGTTTTGTGTTTTTCCTCATCATGTTCAACTTTCAATCAAAGAGAGGCTTTCAGTCAATCAGGCTTTCTTTGAAATTGCTCTCTGTGTATGAAGTAAAAAATCCTGAAAGTTAAAGCAAGTGAATTTTTACCTTATATTCTTGTTTTCTTGTTCACAGATTATTCTCACTCATCACTTACTTAGAATATTTGAGATCCACAGGTCTATGTGGAAGAACTATATTCAGACAAGACTATACTTTTGAACGTTGCAGCTCAATGCTCCATCCCACTCATAATAAAATCTTATAACTTAATTCTCCAGTTATCTTGGAACATATTTTGAGGGCTGGTAGAAACACGGTCACTAAGCTGTGCTCATTTATTTATTCTGAACTCACGTTTGTGATGCAAAAGCAGCAACTTCCAAAAAAGGATTTTAGTAAGCCTTGCTCTATTGGACAAACAAGTTGCAAACACAAACTGAAGACATACTCCTTCCTAAACTGAAGTTTACTTCTTCTTCCTGTGGCTGAAATTCTGCGAACAAAATCCTGTTCTGAGGTGAAATCCAGGCCTTCCAAGATTCTTGACCTTCAAGCAAAGACATTAATCCGATAGCAGTTATGTAAGTATATGTACACATACATGTACATATACACGTATATTCAAAACACCTTCAGCTATAAAGAAAAAAATGTAATTTTTGATGTCATATTAAGTCAATTTCAACTATTTTGAATAATCCATCAACAAATTTCACAGAAAGAATGCGGTTTATGTATTTGTAGGAAAAATATCCAGTACACAAACCCCATAAATCATGCTAAATACATAAATAATTCTAAAGAAAGAAGAACCTAACAGTGCAAAACATACACATTTTCTCAAAGTAACATTCTATTGTCAGGAACAAAAATGAACTGATGGTCTAAGACTGGAACAGTTCTCAAATATTTTCTTGTATTAGTAATTTTACATGCAGTGAGTGACAGAAATACATAGAGAGAACAGAGGGCTTTTTTGTCATCTGTTTCTTACAGATATTTATACATTTATTTTTAATCACTAAGCTTCTTTTGCAACTGTATATTTCATTCAAATCTAATACAACTACTGCATTATCTACTATGGAAATATATTCATTACTTATCAGCATAACTTATCTATTGTTCACTGTGAGACTTCCTATATTACAGTATGTTATCCAAGATGAGTACACTCTAAAGACCTTAAATTGTATTTGGTTATGCCATCATTAATGCCTTCTCATCATTTTGAAAAAAAGAAATACAAACACTATTTCTCTTCTGTATTTCTCTAGTCTCATCTTTCAGACCCCCTTTTATCCCTTCATCTAGTAGACTGGAGAATGCCCTCCTTATAGACATTTTCCCCCATTTTTTATCCCTGAGTTATGATCAAATCAATTCCTCATTTTCTCTCTCTTGAATAAATCAGCTCTGCTTTTCGAACAAGAAAAAATAAAGCTTCTCTTTTTCAGTCTCTCATGGGAAGACATTTGAACTAGCAAGTGCCACAATGAGCAGAGAGGTAAAAGAAGAGATGCTCAGCTTGCTTTAGATGGAGGCAGCTGGCTTGCATGACAAAGCTAGGAGGGAGCCTGGGGAGCCCCAGACCAGCTCTTGCCACAGGCAGCAATTCCAGAAAGAACTAGACTGCCACCATCTGCTGTGGACTCCTAGGTGCTCCTTAAAGTTCTTTCCTTGGGAATACCAAAAGTTATGTTTTAGGCCGCCAGACTCAGCTGTTTTCTCAGACTTTCTACTTAAGAAAGTAAGCCTAAGAAGGATGAGCAGAGACTATGGAATTCTGCAGACACAAAGAACTTCTGAATGAAAGATAAATGTATCCAGATCCCATGTAAGCTCACACTCATTTCCAAATCTTCTATGTGTTTTTTAACTATGATACATTGGTTATCAAAGTTATATGGTATATATATATTGGTATATCATGGCTATTGGTTATTATATATATATATATATATATGTATGTATGTATCTTAAGTTTAAAATTACATTAACTTTTGTTCATAAATTCCTAAATTTCTGGTAACTTCTTGCACTCTCTTTTTCTCTTCTTCCCTAATGAAGAAACATAGAATGTCTTGGATTGGAAGAGACCCCAAGGATCATCAAGTTCCAACCCCCCTGCCACAGGCAGAGCCACCAACCTCCAGATTTAATACTAGACCAGGCTGCCCAGAGCCCCATCCAGCCTGGCCTTGAACACTTCCAGTGTTGGGGCATCCACAGATTCTCTGGGCAGCCTGTTCCAGTGCCTTATCACTCTCTCTGTAAAGAATTTCCCTCTGACATCAAAGTTGATCATAATGGATCATAATACATCGCCAAAAACACAGCAGAACAGAGTAGCTCTTGTGTCTCAGCAATATTGTAGTTATTTTTCATGGACAGGTCTGAAAAATTTCTTATACTATAGCTGAATAGAAATTTTATGGTGGTAGAATGAAACAATACAAACTACAGCATGATCAGAATTTGAATCTGGTGTATTTCTGTTCTAGAGAAAACCATCATGAGATGGTTAGTTCTCAATGAATCCCCACATTCCCCTGCCTGCTGATCATCATGTGCCTGCCCACCCAGCAAGTGAACATACTGATTCTACTTCTTATTTTTCTTTACACTTTTTATTGAGCTTCTCCTTTATCTTCTTTCCACTTCTTGTTTCATGGGAACTCTTTCTGCAGAGCAAACAAATGGACTCAACATTAATCTCAAATGCCTATATTCTGCATTATGCTTTATCCTCATTTTAGATGATAAAATTTCTCATGGCAGCTATTCACTTTGAGATATTTCATATGCATCCATATACCTATGCATTAAATAAAATCATATTCCATATGATTTTGCATATTGCATATTGCACAAAATCAAAGTATATCCAGGAATAAACTTCATATCATTTTAAAAGGATGAAGAAGAAACGTGCTTAAGTTGCAAATCCACAGGCATTTCTCGTTCAGTTCATTGCACCACTGAACTTATTACCACCGTTTATTTGTCATTTCTACAAATAAATGGTTATCTCCTTCAGCATGAATCCATATTTAATTTTTTTTTCTATTCATCATCAAAATGCTTTAGGTTATTTTTAATTTGTGTTATTGTGCCTTGCAGTGTAGGGTAGGAAGAGCCATCCTAGCAAATTGAACTGTATTTCAAGCTTATTTCTACATCTGTTGTAAATGTAAACAATTTTTGAATTATGTAGCAACTAGTATAGTAGTTACATTAACATAGTGACTTCATAACATTTTTCATCATAAAAGCTTTTCCTTCAGGCTACTTCTTATCTTACTGGAGAGTCTTTCAAGACTTGCAGTAGCTCATGCAAATGTTCCCTACGTGTTTTATTCATGTGGAGGTGTTTGCCCACAAGACGATGACCAGAATACAATCTATATTCACATTGGCCATTTTAATACAGATGATGGGTACACAGCTTCATCTGCACTGCTGTAATTCCTTATTTTAGTATGTGAAAAACAACATCACTGAGCTTTGAGTTTAAGCGAGGCTTGGAAGAACTAAAGGAATAAAGTATCCTAAAATCATGACAGTTTAAGGGATTACTCAAGTGTATTTTGACAACTTTTAGAACTTTCTGATTTTTACATTGGACTGGAATTGATATGTTAAACCTAAAGAATGCACTAAGAAAGGTCTCCAGCCTTTTTGTACATCAAAGGCAATTTTATCAACTTTAAAATTGTTAAAGAAAAGGTATCTGAAATTCAATTGTTGCTGAGGATGCTACCCAGAGATCCTCCACCTGCTGTTACATGGTTGAGGTTTGTGTCAAGCAGTGATATGTGTATAAGAACTGTTTCTGAGCACAACAAAATTGAAGGAGATGGGAGGGGAAGAAAACTGGTGCTTTGGTGTCAGCTCTGGAAGATCTCTTCCCACGCTGTATGGGACTTTCTCACTCTCACTAACATGACCTTGCAGACACTGTCTCACTGTAACCTGACATGGATGCCATACTACTTACCCATATTTCTGTAGCACTTATCTAAGTCTTAATACCTCCACGCTACTTTTCCATGTGAACATAGCTCTGGAAGCCCATTCAAATGCATCCTTAACAAAGATCTCAGTTTTGACTAGCATTACATTTCCCCAAATTCCTGCCATCTGCTTTCAGAATTGGCAGAGCTGTAAAAATGTCCCTTCTGTGGGTGATTACTACACATGGGTGATAGCCTTCGGAGAGCTCATACAGAGTTCATGCACTCTTGTGGAAGAGGATTTATCTTTCAATTACCAGAAGCAAATGTAATACCATTATCTAAAGCTTTCTCAGCACTTGTTAATCCTGATATCATTGCAGCATATGAACTTACGATTGAAACAATTATGTGCTTAAAGGGCATTTTCAAAGAGCTAAACAAAGCATATGCAAACCTCAATTTATCCTTAAAAAAAGTAAATGTCCTTGATCTTGGTCAAGGACAAACTTCATTAGAAAAACTGACAGACATGTATACAAGGAATTAGATAATCTTGCAAACCTATTCTTGAAAGAATAACCATATATTTCCACAATCAAGGGGAAATAGTATTTTTCTTAACAGCATGAGAAAAAAAGTATAAATGATTACTCTCAGTTGATACAGAAACTCGAGTCACAAGCATCACTAACATAATTTGATGGATAAAAAGAGCATATGTACTATTCAGATAATCAACACCATAAACAATACCAAAGTATCTTGGATTTGAGTAAAAAAATATTTTCTTATATTTTCATATAAAAGAGTTTAAATTTCTTAAGGGTGTAGCTTGTTTGATTTTTTCTTCAAATACTGTGGTGAGGTTTTCAACAACACTGAATTAATCTTTCACCTAATCTGTGATATTTGCATCTCTTAACAAATTGAACACGCCAGTTATTTTGCATTTAAAAAGGTGCATAATCTCAAGGTAACAGACTTCAGCTATTACAAATTTTATATTTTAGTGGTAGATTTGGCATATTTATTGAAAACATTCCTGAATTAAAGATTTCTCATTTAAACTTGAATGAGATCTCTCCACCATTAGCATTTTAACTAGGAAGTTCTTCCCTTCCGAAATGAGGCTTCAGGGAAAGGTATATTTTTATTATATGATGAAATGGAAACAAATTATATAGGATTATGTAGGTTAGAACTCTTCTTATAACATCTTTTTTACATATCTCTCTGAGGGCATTTGAAAATCTGCCAAAGAGCTTAACTGAACTGTATTTCAATAACGACAAAGTACACATTCCCATCTGG